CATTACATAAATTGTTTTACATACATTACAGTGTCTACAATGTAGAGAGCATTAACAGTAAGTGTTAGTATTTTTGTGGAAATAAATAAATGTTAAACAGATTTATCCATTTTCAAACTATACGTATGTAAATATATTATAATAATATGTATATAATAATAACAATATATATATATATATTATTTTTTAAATATATATATATATATATTTATTTATTAATATTTATTTAGCCTATATATATTTATGACAAACAATTAGACTAAGTAAAAGTGACAACATTTTTGGGACTTTTCATTGACGCCAATCTGAGCTGGCATACTCATACAAACCATGTTGTTAGCAAAATGTAAACAGGTTGGTCTGCCTTGAGACAAATGGATACATTTTGTAAATTAGAAACATTAGGAACAGTTTATTATTCTTTAATTCATTCTCACTTGTCCTACGGAATAAGCGTTTCAGGAGCAACAACTAAGAAAAATTTTGATAAAATATTGCAGAAACAAAAAACGCGTTAAGAATTATTATAACTATTCATACGTTTTTAATTCTGTTTTTTCGTTGAGAATTATGATCATTCTTAACGCGTTTTTTTCCGCAATATTTGATCTAAATCTTTCTTTGGTGCTGCTCCGTAAATGCTTATTCCGTAGGACAAGTGAGAATGAATTAAAGAAACTTTTTAATGTTTATAATTTACAACATTTATCCATTTGTCTAAAAAAAGCAGACAAACCTGTTGACATTTTGCTAACAACATAATTTGTACGAGTATCCCAGCTGAGATTAGCAACAATTAAATCCCAAGAGATTTTTTCACTTCTACTTGGTCTAATTGTTTGTCGTCTAAATAGATTTCTGGTTTTAGTTTGACCCTTGCTCTTTCCTACAAAAGGATATGAAATTGTATTTACTTGAATTTAGAAAAAGGGGTTTTCATCAAGGAAATTTTTAATAATTGAGAGACTAATAAATGAGTTAATTTCAAAACCCTCCTTGGAATCTCCTGTCACAGTGATATTAGAGAGATCGGCATATAAACATACGTTATTGTTTTCAGGTAAACTCAGATGGCCATTTTATGTAACAAAGAAACAATAGGTCCTAAAATTGAGCCCTGTGGTACTCCGTGTTGAATTTTTAAATTTTGAGGGCTAACTACCGCATATAGTTGTAATAATGGTTTTTTTAATTGTAGAATTTAATAGTGTGCTTTCTACAAATTGCTCTCGATATTCCAAATATGATTCAAACCATTTTGATTCTTTACCAGTAATCCCTGCAGTGCAATTATAAGAGTTTTTTGTGTGACACACTGTCAAAAGCCCTAGTCAAATCAAGAAATATACAAACCACTGTAGCCCCTTTGTCCACTGAATCTATATTATTGATTGAATGAATTCTATACATATAGTGGATTTTCATTTTTGTAAACCTTGCTGCGTTTTATCCAACAAATCGTTTCTGCGTGGTTAAATAATCTACTAACATGGAATAAGTGAGATTCAGTATGAATTGAGTGTGAATACATAATTTTGATTTTACTATAAAAAAATTACTATTTTGCTTGAAAATACATCTTTTCAGCCCCTTCTTCAAATCTTTAACTATTACCTTATTATTTTCATTTGTACTTAACCTAAAAGCTTTGTTCCAGCTTTGTTAAATCTAGTAATTTAATTTTTCATAAAAACAATCCTATGGTTATCCATTGATTAGTTTTATCCTCTTTTATCGTGCCATTATTTTAGGAAACCAGTTTACAAAATTTTACAAATATATTTCTAGAGAACCATCATACTTGTCTCTAATAAGTTACTGGTGATTTTGATAAACTTGCAAAAAGACTCCTGATATAAACCTTTAAAAAATTTAGCATTATTTAATTATTGTAAATTTGTGCAATGATCTGTTTAAAATAAGTGTTTATGTGTGTTAAACGATTATTAATCAAATAACTGTGCATTATGGCCTGATATATGTGGGTTATGATACCTGACATTTGGCAGATTTCATCTGGAATAAGTTCAAATATTGTCAATTGCAGTTTGTGATTCTGCAGTAACTTGTAGGGAAATATAATTTATACTCTAGTGCTATATTCAAAACATTAACAAAACCATAACACATTCTATCTTTCTTTAAAACATTGATATTTAGATCCCCAGTGATGATTACACGTATCTATCACACAATACTGTACCTATGTTACAAAATATTTCAAATTAAAATAAATGACATAGTATCATTATTTAAATAGTTAACCGAAGCTACATTGAATTTTTTTAATGATTTTCCTTCGATTAGATATTTGTATTATTCTAAAGAAAGATCAATATTTCATTAAATTTAAATAATAGTCGATGGGAGGCGATGTTATGAGATAGAGTAGATTCTTCTACTGCTTTTATACAGTACTTTAATTATGTTGATCGCTTTCGTTCATTTTGAATTTTATTTATACAGAATAAATATATAAAACCTGCTATGTGTAAGTTAAATGTAAGAATATAGAAACTACTGCTTATAATATGTGATCGATGCTGAAACTCATAAAGTCATCATCATACCACACTGTCGGCTGGGGATGCTCGGTCAGCTCAGCTGATTACACTGTTCAGTTTTGTAGAACAAAAACAAAATCATAAACTTAACACGATCGTGAAGACAGCTATCGCCAGCTAACGGCGGGCGGAGAATTCCACACCCCCACTACCCTACCTGTGTACAATCTAATACAACGGTAATAGACCTCAACTGTGTTAAAAATGTTAAAACCTTAATTTAAACGATATAACACATGTTGTAACGTTTTCCGGCACATTTTCACAAATGAAATGGAGGGAAATACTTAAATTCATAACATATAAAATAATATATACATAAAATCTTAAGTATATTTGAGTCTGAAATCCAGCGCTCGGCGTACTAAGAATGTTCGGACAAACATTTACCTATGTTGTGACGGTATTCCCCAAAATTTTATCATTTTAATTTGAAGTATACACTTGAATGTACAACATATTAAAAAATCATTAAAATCTAAACATATATATTTAGGTTAATTTTAGCTTAAAGTCCAGCTAACGAATTAGCGCTCAGCGTACTAAGAATGTTCGGACGAACATTTACCTATGTTAAGACGATATTCCCCAAAATTTTATCATTTTAAATTAAAGTATACACTTGAATGTACAACATATTAAAAAATCATTCAATTCTAAACATATATATTTAGGTTAATTTTAGCCTAAAGTCTAGCTAACGAATTTGTTCTCAGCGTCCTAATAATGTTCGGACAAACATTTACCTATGTTGTGACGATATTCCCCAAAATTTTATCATTTTAAATTAAAGTATACACTTAAATGTAGCACATATTAAAAAATCATTCAATTCTAAACATATATATTTAGGTTAATTTTAGCTTAAAGTCCAGCTAACGAATTAGCTCTCAGCGTACTAAGAATGTTCGGACGAACATTTATCTATGTTAAGACGATATTCCCCAACATTTTATCATTTTATTATTTTAAATTAAAGTATACACTCAGATGTACAACATATTAAAAAATCATTCAATTCTAAACATATATATTTAGGTTAATTTTAGAAATAAAGTCTAGCTAACGAATTTGTTCTCAGCGTCCTAATAATGTTCGGACAAACATTTACCTATGTTGTGACGATATTCCCCAAAATTTTATCATTTTAAATTAAAGTATACACTCAGAATTATACAACATATTAAAAAATCATTCAATTCTAAACATATATATTTAGGTTAATTTTAGCCTAAAGTCTAGCTAACGAATTTGTTCTCAGCGTCCTAATAATGTTCGGACAAACATTTACCTATGTTGTGACGGTATTCCCCAAAATTTTATCATTTTAAATTAAAGTATACACTTAAATGTAGCACATATTAAAAAATCATTAAAATCTAAACATATATATTTAGGTTAATTTTAGCTTAAAATCCAGCTAACGAATTAGCGCTCAGCGTACTAAGAATGTTCGGACGAACATTTACCTATGTTGTGACGGTATTCCCCAAATTTTTATCATTTTAAATTAAAATATACACTTGGATGTACAACATATTAAAAAATCATTCAATTCTAAACATATATATTTAGGTTAATTTTAGCCTAAAGTCTAGCTAACGAATTTGTTCTCAGCGTACTAAGAATGTTCGGACGAACATTTACCTATGTTTTGATGATATTCCCAAAAAATTTTATCATTTTAAATTAAAGTATACATTTGAATGTACAACATATTAAAAAATCATTAAAATCTAGACATATATATTTAGGTTAATTTTAGCTTAAATACCAGCTAACGAATTTGTTCTCAGCGTACTAATAATGTTCGGACAAACATTTACCTATGTTGTGACGATATTCCCCAAAATTTTATCATTTTAAATTAAAGTATACACTTAAATGTAGCACATATTAAAAAATCATTCAATTCTAAACATATATATTTAGGTTAATTTTAGCTTAAAGTCTAGCTAACGAATTTGTTCTCAGCGTCCTAATAATGTTCAGACAAACATTTACCTATGTTGTGACGATATTCCCCAAAATTTTATCATTTTAAATTAAAGTATACACTCAGATATACAACATATTAAAAAATCATTCAATTCTAAACATATATATTTAGGTTAATTTTAGCCTAAAGTCTAGCTAACGAATTTGTTCTCAGCGTCCTAATAATGTTCGGACAAACATTTACCTATGTTGTGACGGTATTCCCCAAAATTTTATCATTTTAAATTAAAGTATACACTTAAATGTAGCACATATTAAAAAATCATTAAAATCTAAACATATATATTTAGGTTAATTTTAGCTTAAAATCCAGCTAACGAATTAGCGCTCAGCGTATTTTATCCACGTCCATTTTATCACGGCCCGCCAGCGCGGCGAGAAAGTGTGCAGACTGTTTTGGGTCTCTCCGAGCAGGACTGAACAGTATTACCTGCGTTAATGACTGCTGCTTGCCGTGGTTATGCCGACCTCCTGTCCCGCGGTGGGCCGAACTGCCGCACTTTTCAAGAGGTCGCGCGGCATCTTGGCTTGGTGCAAGATGAACAGGAGTACCACTACGCGCTGCGCGAGGCCGCCACTTTCATGACTGGCCCGAGACTTCGTTCTTTCTTTGTGATCCTCTGCAACATGGGAGCTCTGGCAGCTCTCCTGTGGGATGTATTCCGTGATTCCATCTGCGAGGACCACATTGAACGTAATCCTCTCGATGTTGAACTGGCCTACAAGCTAGGTCTCATCGAGATTGATCGTAATCTCCGTCGGCAGGGCTCTTGCGTCGCAGATCACGGCCTCCCCGATGTACACGATGACACGACGGAGTTGGGCAGAGAACTGCTCTTACACGGCGAAAATCAACAGAGAGCGTTTGTGGAGGAGTGGGTGCCAAAGCTCTCTGAAGACCAACACCGTGTATTTGAGTACGTTACCTCCGTTCTCAATGCCCCAGCCAGCGGAACGTCTTCGAAAATCATTTTCCTTGACGGTCCGGGTGGCTACGGAAAGACCACTCTTATTCGTGTCATTCTCGCATACGTGAGAGGTTGTCGTCAGGTTGCACTGGCAGTCGCCAGCTCTGGGATCGCCGCGGGTAACATGCCTGGTGGGACTACAGCTCACAGCATGTTCCGGTTGCCACTCGACTTCGGTGACGGCACCGGCTTTTGGAATATCACCAACGGCTCCCAGCGAGCAGAGCTCATCAGGGCTGCAAGGCTTATTGTCTTCGATGAGGCCCCGATGGCACATCGGTTTGTTTTCGAGGTTCTGGACAGATCCCTGCGAGACCTCATGCGTTCCAATGAGCTATTCGGTGGCAAAATCTTCCTCTGCTGTGGCGACTTCCGCCAGATCGCACCCGTCGTTGTGAACGCTCGAACGCCATCTGACATAGTTTGTGTTTCTCTTCGGGCTTCCCATCTGTGGCAGCATTTCAAAATTTTTGCCCTGACGACAGCTCATCGGACTAGTGGTTCCACAGCCTATTCCGAATTCCTTCTTGAGGTAGGCAACGGGACTGTCAGTTCGACAACTTTCTTGGAGGGACGGAACGAACAAAGTCTAATTCCGCTGCACGGGATTAGACAAGTGACGTCTTTGACTGATTTGGTCGATTCCGTCTTTCCCGCAAACGTCCTACTCGACTCTGATATGTGTTCGCGACGCGCAATCCTCTCGACTCTGATAGTGAACGTCAAGGAGATCAACGACCTCATCTTGAACTCCCTCGACGGTCATCTGTACGAGCTGAGGAGCGCCGACACAGTTGACAGAGAGAACGACGATGGCCTGGATGTCGACGTTCAACTCCTGAATACGGCTACTGGCAAGGGCGTACCAGACCATGTTCTGCGGCTGAAGATCGGCTCTGTTTGCCTCATTATGAGGAACCTCAACATCGCTGAAGGACTCGTCAACGGCACTAAAGTCATCGTAATCGGCATCTCCAACCGCCTGATTACAGTGAGACTTCCCGGACAGACGCAACCTAATTGGTAAATGTAAATCCTCCTAGCGGCATGTAAAGTTCCCTTGCGAACTCGTTACCGATGGATCCGTCGCTTCATGGCCCATTTGATGGGCAATGTTGACCGTATGCCTTGGTGGTACGATGAGGAATATCACTGCGACCAAAGTAGAGGCTTATATGCTCTTACGAAAAGGAGAATCTGTCCTACTTGTTTCGATGTCGATGCCTGTCGTGTACTTTTTTGTACCTACAGTGAATTCGAGGGGTAAGGTACTAGCTCAATATCATTAGTAAATATCATATTGACCCAAAAAATAACATAATCAAAATCTTCATAACATTTAAATCTTTCTTTCAGTGTTAAACGGGCTATTGAACTCAACTGGGACAAGGGCTTGACAAAAGTTCGGAAAATAATAACTCACCTCTACCAGTAAGTTCTTACAATTAATTTAATTGTAATTCATACATTAATTAATATATCCATACCGTACTCCCCCCAATTTAGGTCCGATCTAATCTAGATCATATTTTACTTATCTCTCCGCCGTATTAACTCGGTCTCAGTTAACTTCCGTCCCCATCGTACATCATACCTTCGTCCTTCCAACTTAGTATCTACCTTGGTCGATTCCGTCTTTCCCGCAAACGTCCTACTCGACTCTGATATGTGTTCGCGACGCGCAATCCTCTCGACTCTGATAGTGAACGTCAAGGAGATCAACGACCTCATCTTGAACTCCCTCGACGGTCATCTGTACGAGCTGAGGAGCGCCGACACAGTTGACAGAGAGAACGACGATGGCCTGGATGTCGACGTTCAACTCCTGAATACGGCTACTGGCAAGGGCGTACCAGACAATACGCTGACAATACTACTTTAGTACGCTGAGAACAAATTCGTTAGCTAGACTTTAGGCTAAAATTAACCTAAATATATATGTTTAGAATTGAATGATTTTTTAATATGTTGTACATCCAAGTGTATACTTTAATTTAAAATTATAAAATTTTGGGGAATATCGTCACAACATAGGTAAATGTTTGTCCGAACATTCTTAGTACGCTGAGCGCTAATTCAATAGCTGGACTTTAGGCTAAAATTAACCTAAATATATATGTTTAGAATTGAATGATTTTTTAATATGTTGTACATCCAAGTGTATACTTTAATTTAAAATGATAAAATTTTGGGGAATACCGTCACAACATAGGTAAGTGTTCGTCCGAAAACTCTTAGTACGCTGAGAACAAATTCGTTAGCTAGACTTTAGGCTAAAATTAACCTAAATATATATGTTTAGAATTAAATGATTTTTTAATATGTTGTACATCCAAGTGTATACTTTAATTTAAAATAATAAAATTTTGGGGAATATCGTCACAACATAGGTACATGTTTGTCCGAACATTATTAGGACGCTGAGAACAAGTTCGTTAGCTAGACTTTAGGCTAAAATTAACCTAAATATATATGTTTAGAATTAAATGATTTTTTAATATGTTGTACATTTAAGTGTATACTTTAATTTAAAATAATAAAATTTTGGGGAATATCGTCACAACATAGGTAAATGTTTGTCCGAACATTATTAGGATGCTGAGAACAAGTTCGTTAGCTAGACTTTAGGCTAAAATTAACCTAAATATATATGTTTAGAATTGAATGATTTTTTAATATGTTGTACATCTAAGTGTATACTTTAATTTAAAATTATAAAATTTTGGGGAATATCGTCACAACATAGGTAAATGTTTGTCCGAACATTCTTAGTACGCTGAGCGCTAATTCAATAGCTGGACTTTAAGCTAAAATTAACCTAAATATATATGTTTAGAATTGAATGATTTTTTAATATGTTGTACATTCAAGTGTATACTTTAATTTAAAATGATAAAATTTTGAGGAATATCGTCTCAACATAGGTAAATGTTCGTCCGAACATTCTTAGTACGCTGAGCGCTAATTCGTTAGCTGGACTTTGAGCTAAAATTAACCTAAATATATATGTTTAGATTTTAATAATTTTTTAATATGTTGTACATTTAAGTGTATACTTTAATTTAAATGATAAAAGTTTGGGGAATATCGTCACAACATAGGTAAATTTTTGTCCGAACATTATTAGGACACTGAGAACAAGTTCGTTAGCTAGACTTTAGGCTAAAATTAACCTAAATATATATGTTTAGATTTTAATGATTTTTTAATATGTTGTACATTCAAGTGTATACTTTAATTTAAAATGATAAAATTTTGGGGAATATCGTCACAACATAGGTAAATGTTTGTCCGACCATTCTTAGTACGCTGAGCGCTAATTCGTTAGCTGGACTTTAAGCTAAAATTAACCTAAATATATATGTCTAGATTTAAATGATTTTTTAATATGTTGTACATCCAAGTGTATACTTTAATTTAAAATGATTAAATTTTGGGGAATACCGTCACAACATAGGTAAATGTTCGTCCGAACATTATTAGTACGCTGAGAACAAGTTCGTTAGCTAGACTTTAGGCTAAAATTAACCTAAATATATATGTCTAGATTTTTATGATTTTTTAATATGTTGTACATGCAAGTGTATACTTTAATTTAAAATGATAAAATTTTGGGGAATATCGTCACAACATAGGTAAATGTTCGTCCGAACATTATTAGGACACTGAGAACAAGTTCGTTAGCTAGACTTTAGGCTAAAATTAACCTAAATATATATGTTTAGATTTTAATGATTTTTTAATATGTTGTACATTCAAGTGTATACTTTAATTTAAAATGATAAAATTTTGGGGAATATCGTCACAACATAGGTAAATGTTTGTCCGAACATTCTTAGTACGCTGAGCGCTAATTCGTTAGCTGGACTTTAAGCTAAAATTAACCTAAATATGTATGTCTAGATTTTAATGATTTTTTAATATGTTGTACATCCAAGTGTATACTTTAATTTAAAATGATAAAATTTTGGGGAATACTGTCACAACATAGGTAAATGTTCGTCCGAACATTATTAGTACGCTGAGAACAAGTTCGTTAGCTAGACTTTAGGCTAAAATTAACCTAAATATATATGTCTAGATTTTTATGATTTTTTAATATGTTGTACATCCAAGTGTATACTTTAATTTAAAATGATAAAATTTTGGGGAATATCGTCACAACATAGGTAAATGTTCGTCCGAACATTATTAGTACGCTGAGAACAAGTTCGTTAGCTAGACTTTAGGCTAAAATTAACCTAAATATATATGTTTAGAATTGAATGATTTTTTAATATGTTGTACATTCAAGTGTATACTTTAATTTAAAATGATAAAATTTTGGGGAATACCGTCACAACATAGGTAAGTGTTCGTCCGAAAACTCTTAGTACGCTGAGAACAAATTCGTTAGCTAGACTTTAGGCTAAAATTAACCTAAATATATATATTTAGAATTGAATGAATTTTTAATATGTTGTACATTTAAGTGTATACTTTAATTTAAAATGATAAAATTTTGGGGAATACCGTCACAACATAGGTAAGTGTTCGTCCGAACATTCTTAGTACGCTGAGAACAAATTCGTTAGCTAGACTTTAGGCTAAAATTAACCTAAATATATATGTTTAGAATTGAATGATTTTTTAATATGTTGTACATTCAAGTGTATACTTTAATTTAAAATGATAAAATTTTGGGGAATACCGTCACAACATAGGTAAGTGTTCGTCCGAAAACTCTTAGTACGCTGAGAACAAATTCGTTAGCTAGACTTTAGGCTAAAATTAACCTAAATATATATGTTTAGAATTGAATGAATTTTTAATATGTTGTACATTCAAGTGTATACTTTAATTTAAAATGATAAAATTTTGGGGAATATCGTCTTAACATAGGTATATGTTCGTCCGAACATTCTTAGTACGCTGAGCGCTAATTCGTTAGCTGGACTTTAAGCTAAAATTAACCTAAATATATATGTTTAGATTTTAATGATTTTTTAATATGTTGTACATTTAAGTGTATACTTTAATTTAAAATGATAAAATTTTGGGGAATATCGTCACAACATAGGTAAATGTTTGTCCGAACTTTCTTAGTACGCTGAGTGCTAATTCGTTAGCTGGACTTCAGGCTGAAATTAACTTAAATATATTATATATGGTTTTTAATAATTCTTTAATATGTATTTAAAACAATAATATTTGGTCGAATATTGTTTCAACATAGTTTCAAGTACGTCCAAACACTCCTTGTATGCTGAGAACATATATATGATAAAATTTATATGTTTCGATTTATTTATACTTTTTGGTGCGTATATGTGCTATATTACATATACACAGTTATTAGTTTTAGTTCGGAAAACTATTAATTATCCATAGAAGGTAAATTCAAATGCGAGGTCTTTTTTTTGTGCATCGACTGTACTGCTCAAACCTAGGCGTTATCTGATTGGTCGAGAGGGCGAAGAGGGGAAATCGTTGTGGGAGGGGGAAAAATGTAGGGTCGACAGCTGGCGATAGCTGTCTTCACGATAGTGATGGGCGATACGGACGCGTATCGCGATACAGCGATACGATACGTATCGGAAAAAAATATCGTATCGCCGTATCGAATCGGGCGTCTGTATCGCGATACGCGAATCGTATCGTCAAAAATATCGAAAAACGATACGTATCGTATCGTTTTCCCCCTCCCCTACCTAACCTAGAAACGGCTAATTTATATAAGTACCTGGGGATCGAGCTTTGCTCGGGGAAAAGCATTAGTTTACTCTGAAAACAGTCGGTACTTTCCTGTTAAAGGGAACATTCATTATTATCGATGATTTTTTTTCGATATATCGATATTTTTGTTTACCGATCCATTACATATTTACAAATGATCTTGTTTAGGCTAAAATAGGTAGTCTATTATTTGGATTAAGAAATGAAACTGTTCTCAGCTAACCTAACATAACCAACAAAACTTGCTGTAGCCTAGTAGCCTACTATTTAAAAATCCTTTTGATAACAGAAAAAGCCAATTTAAACATGGAATGTTACACAGCAAGTTTGGTTAGTTATGTTAGGTTATTTTTTTTAGAACAGTTTCATTTCATTATTGTTTGTTGATACTGAAAAATATTTATCGTAGTTGTCAGCTGATATGTTTAAATTCGTAATATCGATACATCGAGAAAAAAAATCATCGATAATAATGAATGTTCCCTTTAACAAGAAAGTGCCAAACAGTCTTAAGTATTGCAGATACATTAATCCATTCCCACACTCCACACTGCTCGCCTTTACTACTTCCTTCACAACTCCCTACGTCTTGGACCTGTTTCCCTATCCTTCCCATAGCATTTTAGGATTGCAGATACATTAATGTAATTGCCACAGACAGTTCCCACAGTCTGCACTGCTAGTGCTAGATAGGACGCTAGTGGAAATAGACTGGACTGGGATGGGACTGGTACATTTTATTAAGTAAAAACCAAAAATACAGACGTCAAAAACTCCTATTTCAAACTACACATCCACAGAGTACAAATTTTGCAGTTTACTCGGCCTGCGCAAAAAAAGCTTAAAAATATCGTTTTGACATGAATCGTATCGCTCTATGTGCCGATATAAATACAAATATCGTTTTAGGCGATACGATACGTATCGTTTTTCAAATATCGTATCGAAATATCGTATCGTCCCTCGCGTATCGCGATATTCCGATACGATACGATACGTATCGCACCAGTGTTGCCAGGTGTACGATAATTATCGTATTTGTACGATTATTTTGCTCCTTCCCCATAAAAAATAATTTTGAAAAATTGTACGATAATTTTGACGTTGTGTACGATTTTTTGTCATAATGTACGATTATTTTTTGGGGGCTGGAAAATAAACTATTTCATATTGATTATTATACATTTAAACACGTTTCCCACTTTTAATAGGCCTATATGGAAAAACGGTAACATCACTTCGTTGCTGTTCGATCTGGCAACCTTGCAAATCCATCAGCTGTGTTAGAGAGGGCCCATTGGCTACCAACTTAAGTGTTTATAGGAGAATTTTGAGAGAAGTTGGCCGCCATTTGTACTAGGGGACAGGGGTGGATTACGTTGTACCTTCAATTAATTATTGTACTTAGTACATTGGCAGTAGGGGAATGAAATAAAGCAATGAGCTGGTTGATTTTTCCAGTTGAGAAGAAAATACCATTATTTTACAGCGTTTCAATATTTTTCTAGCAGAGATGCAGATTCCGTGTGTGTGTGTGATAGTGTGCTGCCTCCGGTAGAATTTATATTTTTCATTTTTCTAGCTCAGTGGTAGGCTAGTAGAGCAAAAACGGTGGGTGGCAGAGACAAATAGAGTAATATTTCGGCCATTCCATCATCGACTTGCTTGTTTTACATTATAATAATATTATTATAAAAGAAAATTGTGTGTACGATAATTTTGCCCCAAAAACGATAATTTTGGCCTGCTTGTACGATAATTTTCGCCGGCGAATCTGGCAACACTGTATCGCACATCACTACTTCACGATCGTAAACTTAACCCTCTACTACTGTCAAAGTGTCAAACAAAAGTGGAAAAGTGTAATAGAGTACAAAGTAATTCTGAATCTTCCTAAGTAGGCCTACAAGATAAATTTGTGTGCTTTTTCACAACTACAACAGTTCAGATCTACCGATATTTAACTTAGTAAATAGTAAATAAAAATCATAGGTAAATTTAGGCTTAAAATACAACAGTGATGCAACATTACAATGATTTTAAAATCATGGTCAAAATATTTATTTCAATAAGCTTATAATTCATTTTCCCTTTCAGTAATTTAAAAATTATATAATATTCAGATTAAGTTAATATGGTTAGCACTCAATTAAAAAAGTTAGGAATAAATTTATCTCACAAATTATTCTTCGCCTCAGTTTCTTGCTGTTCCAAATGAGTTCTTAGTCTTTGCCTCGTCTCTTAGCCTCCTCTTTTGCATGTAGAACTAAGACTCTGATTTTTCAATGATTACTTAAGTAAGATGGCTAATATTCATCAAATGCCATAGTAATACTAGGTCTAATATTACTATATTAGGCCTAGGCCTAGTGTACGAGTCAAAATAAAATATTTAAACTTAACTACCGTAGGCTACTGCTACTCTCAAATTACAGGATGGCCCTATCAATAAATTTTTTTGGGTCTAAGTTACTTGTATATTTTAGCAAGAAAAGGTCTAAAAATCCTCTGTTGAACCATAACTACACCAGTTTATTTCACTTTGATTTCAGGTAAATAACTTATATATGACTTAAAGAATTCATTAATAATCAGGGTAAAACTTTGCGACCCACACATCACCCTAATCAGAAACTTCATTGTACATTTTTAAAGAGTTTTGTGTTTTTACGAGCAATTAGAAACATCATGGAAAAAGGTTTTGAGGAAATGCAAGATGACTACAAAACGCACATATCTGAGGGACAGGGGCTGCTCTTAAAATTAAAGGAAAGCAGTTTCTGCCATGTTCATGGGATTGATAAACTGGAAAGGAAAATTAAGAGAGATATTATGTTTCTTTCTGAGGTAAATACTATTAAAATGTTTACATTTATTTAAACATAGGCCCTAAAATCCATCATCTTAATACAATCCTTGGGTACACTTCCATAGAGAACCTACAATAGCCTATATTAGGTATAAGATGAATAACGACATAGGCCTACCGTATATTGAATCTTGTTCGGTTCAATAGGCCTACATCAATTATAGCCTATAATTTTTTAGCCGTAATTATCGATTTCAAAATGGGTTGATTGAAATTTTTATTAATACCTATTTAATAAAATATAGCTTTCTATGTACGGTACGGTATATAAATAGGCAATCAAGAGTCTTTAAAACCTTTTTTCTCAGCTCATGTGCATCGCAGGGAAAATCTACATATACTGTTAGAAAGATATTTGCCTGTAGATGTGCAGAATACCTTATAAATTTAAAATTAATCAAAAATAAGCACAAAAAATTAATTTTTAAAATAATTAAAATGGGCCTAAAGCCCCCCATGCACATGCTAGCATGTTCCGCATGGTCCGCCAACACGCTCGCGAACATGCTCGTGTTTCCAACATACGGTCGAGCATGCTCGCGAACTTGCTTGCCGCCACCGCGACAACTCTTGCTTCTATCGTGCTGTGACAGTCCGACAAGCCGAGCACCGAGCCCAACATGCCTAAGAAATAAGACGGCCTTAGTCACTAACAAGACTACAAGATCGCACCACTCATCCTATACTCATCTCCATTCATACTTGGCTTAATTTACCTACTTTGTATGGTCGCCATTTCATTGAAAAGTATTAAAGTATTAAGTTAAGTATGCTCGCCGGTACGAAGGCTCGCAGACCCCACACACGGGCGAGCATGTTCGCCGCCAACACCGTCACGAACATGCTCGCGAACATGTTTGCCTGTGTATGGGGGGCTTTATGGGTTGGTATGTTGGTGACAAAATAACAACAAAAAAAACAGAAAATCAAAACAAATGGAAGAAATTCTAATCACATGTTTAGGATACAAATAAAGAGGTCTGTACATTAAATATTTTTGGTTGAGTTTTCGAACCATTGGAGGACCTCTATAACTCAATTTATTATACGAAAATTAACAAAAAAAATTACCTACTATAAAAACGTACAAAAATCAATACAATTTTCAATTTACAATTTTAAACCTACCGGTACCTAGTGTTGATATGGTAAGTACCTACATAGGTTAAGTTAAGCTTAAATGTACGGTACGGTATATAAAATTTACAGTTTCTTCCATTTTAAAACTAAATAATTAATTAAGTGGAAACAAGGGGTTTTAAAAATGAATAAAAAGATTTATCATTTGGTTCAACTTACTTATTTTAAATCATTATGATATTATTATCAACCCGGATAAAATTTGATTTATTTTTATATACATCGTAATTCATCTGATAATATATCGTACATCTGTAGAAGTGCACCCCAATAGCAAAAATACCGGTAATATTTATACTAGGCTTAGGCCCTATCTTATTATTTTTCTAATAAAAAACAAATATTTTTCCCTTTTCAGCCCAAACATAATTTTGTTGCCCAGAATGGATCTAGATTACCCTTATGGTTATGTAGGGTTGCCTTATGGTAATTACAGTAGACTCCCTCTTATCTGGACTCCTCGGGATCGAGGCCAGTCCGGATAATGGGTTTTCCGGTTAAACCGACGTCCCCAAAAACTTGTTAAAACGGACCGTTTACTGTGATATTTGACAAATTTAGGAGAGCATTGTATTTAGACACGTGATAACTGGTCTCAAATCTTTCCCACGAAAACAGTCGTTTCAGTACCGCCCCCTTCCTGCCGATCTAGTCTGGTTAAACCAATGTGCTGATAAAAATTGTAAGGTTAAAGAGATGTCATTTCCGCCGATTGTAGTCTGGTTAAACCGATGTCCGGTTAAAAGGTGTCCGCATAAGAGGGAGTCTACTGTAGTATAAAAGAGGAGATTTTAGCTGGTGACCTCACTATAGTGCCATAAAAATTAACGGGCTATTCAAATTGTATACTTAGGTACCGTACCTACATTAAAGATAAATATTCAAACAGAACCGTTATGGATCATAATCATAAATAAAATTAGGGCCTATTTGGTTATTAGAAGATATAGATGGTACTTTCCTGTCAACGAGGGTATGAGGGAGTCCTGTCGACGATTTTTTAATCACCGTGGGTACAGGGTTAATCCCCTTTCTTACACCATAAAGGCCTAAGCTATGATATAATTTTTGCCCAAACAAGATCAGTTGTCAATTTATGATTTAAAAGTGTTTGAAGATATAAAACAGAAGGATTATGGATTGTAAAAGGAACCAAAAATATTGATATATCGAGAAAAAAACTCATTGATAATAAAGAATGTTCCCTTTAACAAGAAAGTATTGTACCTATGGACATAATCCATACCGTTTCTGATCAATATTCGTGCTTCACTGTCAATATTCAAATATGGTGTACGAAAGCATAAAATGTCGCATCCTGTATGTCACATCTCACTAAAATAACATAAACAAAACGCTCTCTATCTGCTTGGCTTTGTTAGTGCACACGGATACCTTCCGCCTAGCCGATAGACATGAATTGAAGAACTGGAAGCAACGAAACAGACGGTAAAGTAAAACTAAGAAAAGAACATTGCTGTCCATTGCAGTTCTATTTAATTTTTCATTGAATAAGGATATTTGCGTTCGCAACTATTCCAAAAATGCCGTTAGGCTATATAGGCTAATGTATTTTAATAGAGAGTAAAAAAAGGAAGTTTCTCACTTTTTTTAGAAATCCCCCAGAGCTAAATTTTGAACGTCCTCCAGCGAAATCCGGGGATATAGCAACCTCTAACCGTTATGGTAATCAAACAATTCCAAATAAACTGTTTTACCGGTGTTGAGGCTTCAATCTTCAGTAAAGTAGCTTAAGACGGGGAAAGTATAGACAGCAAGTTTCTGGATGCAAGTATTTACCAGTTTCATTTACTGCAAACTTACTAATGAATGTAAGCTACCCCTATGGTTGCGGTAAGTGCAACTAGTAAGTAAGGCAGTTACTTGCTGCCAGCAACTTGCCATCTCTAGGCTGTCTTCGCTAATAAAATGGCTGTTAATAAGGTTAAAGCTGAGATGATCAATTGAACTTCCTGTTTAGTGCCTTGTGAAAACCCCATTTTTTTACGAAGCAGGCCGTTTTTTTATCAAGCAGACCTAATGTATTTAAAGACAAACCTAGACCAACTTTTGTTCTGCCTACAGCTATAGATTGTTTGTAATCCACTGGTGGTGGTTTTCGGTGTAAAGCGTGTCGTCCTGTCGTCAGTTGTGGATAGCTTTCAGATGTTTCACAGTTACTATGACCTAGTGGCTTGGCTTGGCTGCGGCTGAGTATAGCCACTATAAATGCCAAACTTCATAGTAAGGGCGAAACATCTGGCAGTTATTCACAACTGACAAAACGATTGACGCTGATAACCACTGCCATGGACTCTAATGATAGGCCTACCTATGGCAAAAGTATACTAATGAGGATTTTATTGTTTATAATTTAAAAATTTCCATAAGTGAAAATTAAGAGTAATAAATTATGTGTTTGTGCAGACTTTGCAAAACAATAAAATGAAGAAGGAGCATCTAGTCTGTTCAAATCTACACTTTTATAAAGCAATCATTGATGAGGCGCAGAGGCAAGAATGTGAAGCGGTGTTAAAGACTTTTTCTTACAAATTGAATGAGAAAGTACTAAGACTCACAGTGGATATTGTTTCTAAAGAAGGTCATCAGTGGACAAAAGTTATTGCAAGAAACCCTTTTGCTTTACATCAGATTTTTAAAGGTAGGAATAATTGTTTAAGACATTTTGATGTTATAGTTAAGCTCACTTTCTACTGCATCTTTCTTAACAATATTTACAAAATAGTCCTTAAAATGTTGGCTTAGAGCAACAGGATCCAAAATCACCTCATCATTATAGCCCGTGCGTTTCCTGGTGAAGACTGGGGGTAGGGTTGAAGCCCTTACAAAACAGATTCTGAGCCACTATAACCACCTACCCCCAGGCTTCACCAGGAAACGCACAAGCTCTACCTTTTACGAGGGATATGTTTCTCATGTCAATTTATAATTTAAGTGTGTTTGAAGATATCAATGCACTCATATCATACAAACCCTATTGCTGTCGCGCAGATGCTGTTGAGATAGCAACCGAAAGTCCATGTCATACGTGACGGCAAATGTGTCTCATTGATCCCGTTCCGCCAATGCCGGGTGCCTGTCATACCCACATTTGCAGTAGCAGCACTTATTTGATCTCCAAGATGGACACCATCCAATTAGGTTGTATAAGCTTGTTGCACATTATTCAAGAGTATTATCGGAACAATCCAAGACGATGGAGAACCGAATTCCAGTATTGTGCCTTTAGTTACCTATTGCTTTAATCATTCTACTTAACGTCGTACAGAGGACATTTTTCATCTGTATTAACCAAAAGTACAATTTTGCATTGTGGAGTAAACTTATGAAATAGACTGTACGTTTCACTGTGGATAATTCAACCTGGTCGCTTGATCAAACACTGTAATGTGAGTTCGTTTGATCCACCAGTATAAACTATTACGTCCTTCAGATTTCAGGCGTTCAAATATGCACTGTGAATAAGCAGTTTTAAATATTCACTTTATCACACTGAACTGTAACCAAAACTACATGATGATTCAGTAAAATACGATGTAAGGTAAATCAATTCAACAACTAATACAAACAATTTTGTTGTCAAGTATTGCTGGGAACCTCTTGATTTATGAACCAGACTTAGTTAACAGATGTTTAGATAAAAATATAAATTCCTGCTTTGCTGTGGAAGTAATAAGTCCTGCAGTCTGTGGTTAACCTGAAAAACTATTTCAAACTATGTATATATGTTTACTTGTCAACAAAGGGAATTGAATTTGATCTAATGTCAACAGATAGCGCCGCCATTCCCAACCTTAAGTCCTTAAGTGATGCCCTTTCCTAATATTCTTAGGCGTATTTGCACATTTAGGCCTACCTGAAATTACCTTTAATTTGACACCACAAACTTTAAAATCCGTCAAGCCGTTATCAAGTTATGACTGTGAAAAGAAAACTGCTTGCGTATTAATATATAGACGAGGTGTTAGCCCGTCCTACGTACGGGAGTAGTCAGTTAAAACTGTGTAGGCCTATAATTCAGAACAGGTAGTTTACACGTATAAAGACAAATTTTATTGCAGCCTACAGTAGAAAGAGTAATTATCAATTGAGAAGTGTATAGGCCTAGTCAACGATACCACCTTCCACAGCATACCTGCCTCTTCCATAGTTATTATCAGCAAAATACAATTACTATACACAATTTCCAGTAGGTCTGAATAGAAACGACCTAAAATAAAACGATAATATCCAATAAAATTCACAGTACGGTACACATAATTTAACTTTGGTGTCCTAACATCAAAACTAATCGTCACACCTATCCTTTATATCAATTTCACTGCATTAATTGCTAAATAAATAAGTGTAAACAAAGAAAAGTAAAAACAACAACAGTTTGTTTTGAAACAGCTGTTTGGTACAAATAACATTCATTTGAAAAAAAGAACTGGTCACATGTAGCAGGAATATAAAAACAAAAAGTAAACACGCTAGTAAAGCTAATGACGTAATTGTCAATGTTTATTATCCATACCGTTATCAGTTCTATCCTTGATAATTACCCACCCTCATTGTATAAACGTACATCGTAATTAATTTTCCATATTAGTTAATTTAAACTACAATGTATTTATAGTTGAAATAAAAGTGATATTTTCACGTTTGGGGACGCTGATATAGGCACCCCCAAACGAAACGTAACCAAAACTAAACACGATTTCATAAAAGGATGGTTTGTCTAATTGCAGTATCCTAGGTCAATGTTGACGTTGTGCTCAATCTGTCATCCATCTGTTTATCTTTGTATAAAACCCGGCTGAGGTTGTGGTGGTAATTTAAAATCGTGATTCCTGATTATTCTTGATCTTCTTTTTATGACATAAATATTTCCGGGCCTAATCCAAACAAAGTTAAAGCAGACAAACACAAACATTAATTGTAAACATAAAGCTACCATTAAGAATTAATACATGTAAACTAACACTGTTATTTTTTTAATCTTTCCTTGAAAAGTGGAGCAGTAAAATAGTTTGCATTTATCCTTTTTTATTAAGACTCGTGTACAGAGCCTCGATTTGTACTTTGGTTTAATTAATTTTGGTTAAAACTGTGGTTTAAACTGTGGTCTAATTATCTCTACTAATCTTACTTATTTCCTATAATCAATGACAAAATAAAAGTAAATAAAATAACCTCATAGTTCCATAGTTTATATTTAACCAGCTGTTAGTTAAAACAAATTATATTGCTCTAAAACAAATCGAAGATTACAATGATTGCTTTAAAAAATAATTTGAACATCCTAGTATTTTACTATGTATATTTAATTGTATTGCAATCCTCTTACCGAAGAATTGAACGTATCAATGATTAGCATTACACAGCTGTTTTAAGCAAATTATTTTATTCCACAAGCTAGTTTAGAATCTTAGCGTCGGCTGCTAGACTTTTTAAAAATTAAAATTTAATTTCTAAAAAACTGGGACCCTAAACTAAAATTATGGCTTCGACATTCCCTAGTTCTCAAAATTATTTTTCTTTCAACACAAAAATCATGAAAATCCGTCGAGTGGTTGATTCAGAATCGTGAAATAAAAAAACACTGTTTCGTTTGGGTGAGGTTCATAATGTCCAAATTTCACAAACTCCAACGTCTAAAATATTAAATAAACAGTGCGTTTCATAACCTCCAAATTTCATAAACTCCAAAACTATAACTTTCAAATAATCACCGAAATGTCCAAATTTCACAAACTCCACCGTTTAAATATCAAATAAACAGAGCGGTTCATAACCTCCAAGTTTCATAAGCTCCAACGGTACAGTCTCTGCCAGAAGTCGCTGCAGAGGTTGCCGTGGTTCGGTATGTAGGCGCTACACGTTCTACTGTTGTAGCGGTGTAACACGAAGTATCATTGTTGCTCCGTAATTGCTTTCGTTCGCGAACTCGTTTGAATAAACGTAGGATTACACGTTTGTACCAAATTTCATCAAAATCGGATGATTTTTGCTCGAGTTATCGCGCTAACGGACACACATATGAATATATATATAACTGATGGTGTTTTTGGTCTCTAGGGACTTAAAAACGAAAAAGTAAATCGGTCCCGGGACCAGGTCTTACCATGAGTACTACGGTAATAGCTTATTCCCTATAGGGGAAATTCGCTAAAATGTAAATTTGATTTGCACATTGTGTGCTAACACATATTTGAGTCACACATCTGAGTGTTCTTCAATCATTAAAATGTATGTATAATCAGTAGTTGAGCGCTGGCGAACGGTGCCTGCTATCTGACTGTGGCAACCACTAGAGAGACTTCTGGCCCAGACTGTACCGTTGGAGGTTATGAAATTTGGACATTATGAACCGCTCTGTTTATTTAATATTTAAACGTTGGAGTTTGTGAAACTTGGACATTGTGAAACAGTGATTATTTGAATGTTATAGATTTGGAGCTTATGAAATTTGGAGGTTATGAACCGCTCTGTTTATTTAATATTTTAAGCGTTGGAGTTTGTGAAATTTGGAGTTTATGAAACGCTCCCTTTCGTTTTAATACAGGGTGTTTTTAAAAGAATGCCGGGATTTCAAACGGTAGTTGCTCGGGGACTATTCAAGATAATTAAACGAGTTAAACGTCAAATTGAAGGGAAAAGAATAAAGTTTTTTTCTCATTCTTTCATACAATTCGGAATGATTGATTAAAATTTAAATTTTAATCAATCTTATATGAGTGTAAAACTGGCAAATTCTGTACGCGTAGGGCGATCGGCAGGTTTATCTGATGTCTTAACTGAATCTTTTTCGGTACAAAGACTCTATATTTTATAGATAACATCATAAAGTGACCAATTTAGGTTCGTTAAACTGAAGACTTCGTCGGGCAATCGATTTTTTCGGGCTTCTGATGCAGAATATTCGGATTTCTTCGACTATGTCATCGCTTTTTTTTAGCCGGCCAGGTGAATGTTTTTTCAAAACATTTCGGTGCCACGAAACTCATTAAACCAGCTCCAAGTTTCTTTATCATCAAGTAGATTTAAATTTAGTTTAATTTAGCAATGGATATAAACTCTGCGAACTACAGATTACAATCTGTGCCTTCTGTTGCGCCGTAAATTTCGTACTGGCCACTGGCGTCAGGCGTATGAGTCAAAATAGCGGCATATCACCCCGCACCTGTTTTACGCTTACCAAGGTCAAAGTTTCCTCCCTTGCTACACGGGAAACAAAACTTAGTTATTTTAGCTTCAACTTGACGTATAAAACGTTTAGTTACCTTGAATAGTATCCAAGCAACTACCATTTAAAATCCCGGCATTCTTTTAAAAACACCCTGTATTATAGAAGATGTTAAATACACACTCTGGAAGAAGTAAGACCAATCCTCTGATTTTAAAAAAATTGAGGAAGTTTGAAATATTTAGGCTACCCTAGAAATTGTCTCACAATTTTTTATTTTTTATTTTTATATTTTTTATAACAGGATCCTTATGCTTCCTAATGATAGACTCACAATTCACATTAAGATACAGTACTGATTAAGGTGGTCAGATAAACCAATTTGTACAACAAAAGACATAGCCTACGTATATTAGGGCTGAAATTAGTAATAATATTATCAAGACATGTACTGGAGAGAGTTGAATCTCGAGTGGGAAAATTTAGTACTGTAATTGAAAAAGTCTTGGCTATTCCAGTTGGTTGTGTCCATATCCACCACTAGAGTGCACTAAGTATAGTTCCATATGTCAAACATGACAAATGTATAAACAGGAAATAATGTACTAACAATTTTTTTAAGAGTGGCAGAAAAACACTATATTGGTGATCTAGACGTAATTCTGCACAACCTTACAACATTTTGAAGGCAAAATGTCATATGTCCGTAATGTTACAATTTATTGATATTTTATATTTTAGAGGGAGATGCTTTTGGCCGAAGATCACTTACGGATCAAGCAGCTGCATATATGCTAGCAGCCTCTCAGAATTTGAATCTCTATACTCCTCCAAAAGTAAGCATTTGTAGGATGTTCATATATCAAGGTTCAAATTTTTAGTTTTTAAATGATCATGTAATATGATGATATGGTGATTGTTGATCATTATTGCTCAAGATTTTTTAAGATAATTATGTTGTTCTGTATTGAAATTTTTCAGGCTAAATAAAGCCAATTTCTATAGGCGGTTGACACATATGTACGAAGAAAGGGTTTACACTAAAAATTGTGTTAAAGTGTTGAAGGAGTTCAGAGAAGGTGATAAACATTTAGAGATGATAAGAGCAAATGATTTTGTTCATTACAGTACTAGTTTAGTTTAGGCAGTCACAAAATTTAGGGATAGGCCTATTTTGCATGTTGTTTGCAGGGTTGATGAACAGTTGCACCGATGGTCAAAGGAATTTGCTAGGGTCGACAAGTCCTCCCTCTCAAGAGTGCCCAGTTGCACCGGCGGTCAACAATCTGGCAGGCTTGGATGCTCCTTCCCCTCCTCGAACGCTTTTATATACCTATCCCCTCTTTTACGTTCCATCGTATATAGTCTGTGCTTAATATTTACCGTATATAGGGAACTAGCACCTAACCTAACCTAACTTAGCCTAACCTAACCTAACCTAACTTAACCTAACCTTACAACATTTCAATGGGTGGGGAGGGCGTCAGGGTTCTTTGACCGCCGGTGCAACTGGGCAACTGCCGTTTGCAGTGTAACTGTGCAAGATATGCCGAATTGTTAAATTGCATCTTCTGTAAGACTACCACGGACGACAGCAAACCCAGATTGTAAATTTTGTCATTGTCTAAACGCAAACTGATGGAAACCTACAACGGATGGGAAAGTAGTTACTCTCACACTTTGATATGCATTTTAATTTTAATTTTGCTGCTGGCTCTTGGACTAAATATTTAAAGCAATATTTGTGTTTTATTGTTGCATGCCTTATATTTTTTCCATATTCAACTATGGTACAATTCTATATATCGACTATCCTCTTTCATTAAACCATTTTAAGCACTTTTATATTGTTTCAGGTCCATATGTCCTTTGTAAATGGTGTGCCTGAGATTGTCAAGACATATCTTGAAAAGTTCAGTATAGGGGTTGAAGGACAAATAGTTACTATTGATGATGATATTTTAAGTGATTCCGACAGTCTTAGTTCTGATTCTAAAAGTGTTGATGATAATATCTGTGATACTGCCAGTGCTTTTGTAACTCCAGCTGAGGAAAAGTAAGGAGTATATTTTATTGCTGTTCTAAACTTAAAAGAGTCTTCAAAACCCCTATAAAAAAGGACAAAATCATGACCATTTGTTTAGGTCATAAAATGCTTCTGGTTCTGATACTATTTTTTTTGTGACTGAATTAGGAAAAAAGTGTTTTCTAGTAGTTAGATAGTTGTTGTAGCCTAGGTCTAAAAAACTTAATTGTATATCAAATATATATATTTTTTATCCCAAGTACCTATTGTTTTTTAAGGTAAAAAATTCAAAACATTTAAATTTTTTTAAAGCTACCAAACAATTTAGGATTAGTTTTAAACGATGTAAGCTAGTAGAATGGTGCAGCCACTCTGTTAGTTAATGATAAAAAAGGATCAAAAGTGTTCGGTCAATATCGTCGGCCGAGGCAGCTACATAATAAACCGTGTTTTACTTTGAAGCGTACTGCGGTTTTGTACTACAAGCCATTCAATTCAAGTATAAAGCCTATCAAGTCAATTATAAATCACATTAGATAAATATAAATTGTGACTCGGAGCATACAAAATTTCAATGTGAATTGGATGATGCGGCTAGAATGAAACCTAATTTTTTTTTACTTGATTAAAACCAAAGTCTTGTTTAAGACAAATCTGTGGAAATTTGTTGCCACTTACATAGAAAATTAAAGTTTAAAATTATAAATGGAACAAGAATTAATCCTTTTCTGCTCTTGTAATAGTTAAAGTTGAACATTTATTTACACTAAACTGATGTAAATTTTTTTACAGGACATTTACAAAGCTCAACCTTTGTGTGACGACATTGATAGCCTATGTGTCCGCTCTGACTAACGGTGGTTGTAACTGCAACTTCCGCGAGCCTCTTCTACAACAACAAGCTGAGTGGGAACGCGCTGCTCCTGTCAAACCCCTTCTAGACCAGTTGTTTGAAGGTAGATTGTGCCAAACTTGTAGAACTAACTCTAAACTGAATTAATTAGTATAGAATAATAATGAAAAATTTTAATAGCTGAAGTATGTTTGTCGAACTTGCTTTATAATCAGAAGGTTGTTAGTTTGATCCTGGAGAAGTCAGAATCTTTTTAATGTTCCATATTTGCTTATTAGACACCAGCTATGCTCATAGTAATATGTTTTTTGAAGTCGCATCCGCCTGCTCATAAATTCATAAAATGTTAACAACAGGCTCCTTAACCAGCTACCTCTGGTCCCTTGGGCTCTGCCCCAGTGGCTTTTAGTTTGCATGTTATCCTTATGAAGAACATATTTGTTTACTTTACATCATGATCAGCTGGATAATTGATTTGCTGTTAATATTTTGGTTGAAATTTAAGGAAACGTGTGATACAGACATTACTGATCCTCTATAAAAATAATAATGTAAAAAGGTTAAAATACCTGTAACTGCCTCGTGATTCCTCTGTTCCTGTACTGGACTACGCGCGTTTCGATGTATGCTGGAGTAAACTGGATGTAAACTGTCGTTTTATACCTCCTGGTGAAGTTCTATAAAAAGCCCAAAGTACCCATGAACACTTTTGAGAAAACTATAAGTCGGAATCCCATAAACCATATACCGGTACTTAAAATGTTCGTCATGACGAGAAACCTTGCGCAAAACTATCCATTATTCCATAAATTTCCCTTTATGGTCGTAATTCCTTTCTAAAGGGAACTTTCCATATACCTCTATGTAAAAAATGCCTCAGCTGTACTTATTTGTATGTTGTTCTTTCAATGTATTACCTTATTAAAATCAGGTGTGATTATTTGTTTGTATTACTGTATTCTTTTTTGTTTATTTCAGCTTTCAATAGTTTTATTAACACTTATCACTTATGAAGTCAAATGGGGAGAAGCCCGTGGGTACCAGCTAGTTTGGTTAAAATGAAATATTTACTATTTGATTTTGTGTTGGCGTAAATATTAACTTACCACGGAAAAAAGCGAGAAAGCCTGGATATACTAAAAAGAAAACTGAATTAACACTGAGCTGCATTTTTTGAGCAATCACTAAAAGAGCCGATTTGCAAACTGTGGAACCTTAGGAATGTCATAGAAAACCATCAAAGAAGAGAAATAATGTGTTTTATTTAGAATTTATAATTGTTATTATGGACAACCTAATACGGCTATGAGTGTGAAACATTTGTAGAAAACACTAAAAAACAAGATCAGCTTTTGAAGAATGATCATATATTTACAAGAAATGTTGATTATATCAAACTGTTATGTACATCGTGAGTATTTCCATAATCTTTTAAAGTCATCGGAAATTATGACTGATATTCATTTTAAAATAACGCCTGTAATACTTCGCAACTGCTCAAATTCAAGCAACAGGTACACTAGCTACCCTTAAACTAAGAATTGAGCCTCAGTAAATGCCCAGCAAATTGAAAGAGATGCACTTTAATTTGAATGTGTTTACTGAAAACTCAAACCATTTCCTTCTCTCATGCAATGCACTAAAAACCATAGATTTTAAAGGTTTTGTTTTGTTTATTGGCTTTTAGAATATCCTAAATCTGCTGAATAATGGTGTCTGCTTGAACTGATTAGTGAAACAATTGGCTGCCATTGGCAAGAAGGAATGTTCTTTAAAACATCTGTTTAAAATAATAAAAAATCTGAATTGTCGTCATGACAGGATCTGACTTCAATTATATTCCCTAAAGTGTATAAAATTGGACCCCCCCTTTGTCGGTGTCTTTGATTTTAAAACATGATCGGTGACACACAGAGTTTTTTTTCCGGGTGTTGAATGAAAGATTAGACAAAAACTGTGTTTTGTACATATAATACAAAAATGTATTTAAGCCATTTATAATCAATACAAAACTCTTACTTTGCATATTTATAAAATACATAGCAAACATAAGCAACACGATCGGTGACACACGGAGTTTTTTTTTAACGTGTGTTGAACAGCCCATACACTCACATATATAAAATGCACATTTTTAGTTGCTGCTCTGTTGAAATATGTAGGGATAAAATATTGCTAAAGATTATCAAACTCTTTTTACTATTAAAAACCTATATGTCTGTTTTGTTTCTTGCAGAAAATAGCCCATCTGAATTCTTTAAAACTACAAATTCACTAAACCTGATTTGTAGATGTTTTTAGAAAACCGATATTGCTAGTTCCAAATTGTACATGGTAAAATAATAGGTGATTAAAAAGGAGAAGTAGAAAGTAGGACAATATTTGTAATTGAATTCCTATTTCATTAAATGAAAAAATAGTACATAAATCATTTAGAATAATTTTGCTAAGTTTTTGCCACAGACTTACCGTTATATTTGACGTAAACGCGGTACTTTTTTTCTTTCAATGTGTAATGACAATGTATCTTAGAAAAAATATCACAAGAAAAGAAAGAAAAAGTAGGCCTATCACGTTAATGTCAAGCACAGATCTGTGGTAAAAACTGGACAAATGTAGTCGGGGTTTTAAGAGTTCAAATGTGTTATTTTTGCAAGAAAAGTAGAATACATAAAGTTTAGAATATTAAAAAGAGTTTGGCATGCATTAGCAATATTTTATATCTATATATTTCAACAGAGCAGCAACTTAAAAAGGTGTGTTTTACAATGGTGAGTGTATGTATGTCAGCCTTAGTCACTAACAAGGCAAGATCGCGCCACTCATCATACACTCATCTCCATTCATACTTGGCTTAAAATACCTATTTTGTATGGTCGCCTTTTCAAAGAAAAGTATTAAAAGTATTAAAGTATGGGCTGCGTCGGCTACTGCCAGTAGATGGTTGGGGGGAGCTATTCTCTGTATACACTAACTTGGCGTCTGAACCCTAGTCTATGTACCTGCGGACGGACCGGGGCCGAAACCTTTCTCGCCCCCGTTGAACAGCTGTTACCATAATTAGTCAACTAGTAGCCCCTCCACTGCAATTATGAACTTTTTTGTGCGGGACGGAATTTAATTTTTTTTTCTGCACAAGCAAAAAGTTCGTGAAATTTTAAGAAAAATGATACTAAACTTGACCATACCAACCCCCATGTCTTCCGGGAAATTAGTGATTCACGTCCTAAGACCTCTGACGATTCTGACGTGGGGGTATCGTCATTAGATTAATCGCGTATTGAAATGCTATTGATGAAATATGTATAATCTGCCGAAAAACTACGGTAGGCCCGTCGTAGGCCAACGCTTTATACAAAAATTTAATTAGCTTAAAAACATTTACTCAACACATACACATAATTCTGTAATTTTTTATCGACAATTGCCCTATCCTTAGAAACATGATGATTGTATGATTATTTTAAGTTTCATTTGGCCCGTACAAAATGACGCAATTTTGACTTTTCATGCCAAATGCTACTTTCGCTCGCATTTACGATTAGTTTTTTTTACCTTTTAACACATAATTATTACGTATACTTAATGAAACGTACGGTTTAAAAGTGTTTCACGTTTACAATAGACTTAAATGTGATTGGTTAGATCTTTTTCACGTTTACAATATACTTAAATGTGATTGGTTAGATCTACTCAAAGAAACATAATATGAATTAGGTTGGGACAAACTACATCGCCTCAACACGTTTTACATGTTTTTACTTCTTAAACTTTATTCCCGTAACAATATTAGGAAATTTAAATATATAAATCACTATTCCTTTTTTGTGTTTGCAGATTCGCGGTGCACGTCTGATTTAATTAAAAATAATTCATACATAACTATATTACAGTTTTATTTCTATCCCTGATAAAGTTTCTATTCCTCAGTAGCTACTGTACTTATGCCTGTAGGTTCTACAAACGTAATAAGAATATAGTCAAGTTTGGTATCATTTTACTTATTTATTCATGGACTTTTTGCTCGTACAGATAAAAATGTAAATTTCCGCCCCGCACAAAAAAGTTAATAAGTGCATTAGGGGTGTGACTTGGTGACTAATTATGGAAACAGCTGCTCAAGAAGTGAGCGAGCAAGGGACGGTCCCGGCCCGGTCGCAGGTAGTCAAGGGTCCAGACGCCAAGTTAGTGTATACAGAGAATAGACCAAAAACAGCGCCCGCAGTGCTACTGAGAGCGCAATCCAGTAGTTCTTTACATCGTTGGTGATAACACATGTTTCTCTATAAAAACAAATGCACCCAGAGGAAAACTCCGTGGTGTCACAGACGAGGGTTAAGCAAAAACACAGAAATATTCTGCAATCGTTCCTCAAATAACCTATCCTAATTATTTGTCAAATTTTCCAAAACTTGGCCAGTTCTCGGATAGTTAGTCTATTCTAGTTCTATGTTCAGGTAAGGAACTAGTATGCTGTACAGCCGCCCTGGATGACTTCCACAAGATCCTGGCAGTAGTAGGGGGAACCGGAGAGAAGCGACGGGCTACTGAGTTCTTGTCCAGAGTTACAGAAGTGAAAGGGATTATGTACCCCGGACTGCGACCTTCGGGAAAAATTAAACGGAGGTAATGGTAATATATAACATTGTCACAGAATTATTATTTCAACCATTACTAAACTTTTCCTATTTTCAGTTTTTGAACAAGCTTATCTCCCGAATTGATATAAGAACTTGATTGTTTCCCGTTTTGTAATTGAAAAGTAAAAAAATATTATGCAGATTGAATTATTATTATTCTCTTAAGCCCCGTTTACACAAAGCCAGTTGGCAGGCAGGACCAGCCTCACATAACTTGAAACACAATAGAGGCAGGTAAGGTAACCTGACCCGTTAACCTTCCTGTTCTACTGGCCTTATGCCTTTTGTTAGCCAAACCCATCTTGATTACTTTGTAAATTGTGTTGATGTAGCTATGTTGTTTTATCGAGTTAAAATTCGCATCCTGTCCAATTTCAGGCCTTCATTCAAAGATAGACCTCCTAGCAATTGCATTTTAAACTTACCCGACTTTTTTTAGCAAATAATATTACTGTAATTTAGACCTTGTGGATGGGTATTTACGTGACATAATTTAACTGTTAGTCTGACATTATTATAAAAAAAGTTTCCGTATTTTCTAAGAAGCACATAACTTAAACCCAACTTAACATGAGGAAAAAGTTTGTGTTATTAAGTTGGCAATATAAAATTTCAATTTGTTTTTACAGATCACTTGAGATTTTTGGAACGGGTCATGCTCTGGAGGCCCCTACTGTGTCAGCCAACAAGGGGTTTTTGCAAGCGGCGTTGCAAAAGGTAAGTTATGTTAAAAAATAAATATCTTATTTTCACTATATTCATAGTAAAATAATGGTACTACAAAGAAGTAAGGTAGGTACAGTGGTACAGTAAAGTGCAAAGATGCAATGTGGTGTCCAGGGCAAAGCCCAACACCACCCCCCTTGCCCTCATACAACGTCCAAAGTGGAGGAAGACCCTGTACTCTTGTGCCATAGGAATTTCCACACAGTGCTTGCTGCTCGGAATCTCCCTAGCTCGTCACAATTATGTTTCCAGCCCAACATACCAGAGCTGAAAGCACACGGTCATCCCACGAGTGTGTTTCCGCTTAACTCACTTATCTGTGATGGTACCTGGTTTATCTCATTGTGTAAATCAAATTGGTTGTAGAGGACACTTTACCCACATGTTTCACCATTAATATGCTGAACAACGAAACAGAAACACATTAAACATTTCCAACAGATAGGTCACATGATGTGGACGGTCTCGATGGAGGTAGTAGACTCGAGTCTTTTTTACCCTCAAGCCATAACTGAGACAGAGACAAAGTCTCTGAGACCATAGATAACACCTTAGAACTAGTTATCGGTGTCACTTTTATAAAGTTGGTAATTGGATTCATGTGTCAAAGATAAGACTATGTTGGATCCTGATACTCAAATTTTAGATTGTTATATGATCTCTAGAGTGTTAATTAAAGATTGTTTTTCTTTAGATGTTTCACCAGTCAGTGAAGTGAACAAAAGTCATTATGAACAATGTTTACAAAATTAGTCTTTACTGCCTAAGAGCTTTCTTCTAGAATGGGCAATGGGCATGTAGGTCATTTAGGATATATTGTTCATAAAGACATAAATGTAATGTTTTAGCGAATTTTCTATATAGGGAATAGAATAAGCTATTACCGTAGTTCTCATAGTAAGACGGGACCAATTTACTTTTTCGTTTTGAGGTCCCCAGAGGCCAAAAACACCCAAATAGTTCAAATTCACATATATTATATTATGTGTGTGTGTCCATTAGCAAGATAACTAGAGCAAAAATGATCTGTTATTGATGAAATTTTTGTACAAACGTGTAAAACTACGTTTATTTGAGACCAGCATGGTCGGGGTTAATTTATGGGGGGTTTTATGGGGTTAAAATGCTATGGGTTTTTCTTATTTTTGACACTGAAAAAATAAAATTTCTCAATTTCTTTCTAAACATTTCTTAAATCTTAAAAAAAGAAATAATGTAGTATGTATAAGCGTTGTTGTATGCCTAAGGTTACGGATAAAAATCCAACAAAGTTTAAATAAAAAATTCCCATGTCTTATGGAGAATAAATAACAGTTGTAGTATCAGTTAGCTTGTTTATGGATATTTTTATTTCAATCAAATTTGACACCTATAGCAGCAAATCTACTTCAAAATACTAATTTAAATAGGTAATAATGTTATTTAATTAGGTATAATGAATCAGACAATTTTAAGGGAATGTTTTAGTAGAAATCTAGCTAGTTAAATGGAGTTTGCTGAGTCTGCAGGATTGTTGCGGAGTGGGTATTTAATTCTTGTATATTTCTTGAATTAATGTGATGTTTCTAACCGCCAGAAGAAGTAGCAAAATTTTATGTGAGACAGGCTATATCTGTCTGAAGCTACAGAAGCTGTGCTAATATTAGCTCAAATGTGTACCCACTATGCCACTAAACAATACACGTATAATTGTCAATAGACAATAGTCAAATTCTTTATTCCTTCAACAATATACACATATTGTAATAGACATCGTCAAACTTAACAAGCAATAACAAAATAACAAGGCAACAAATATTTGTTCTGTATTCTTTAAGATACCTTGTCAAAGCTTTGTATGTATGGTTTTCATCAATGGTTTTAGGGAGTCAAATTTGCTGCAATTATTCACGAGTCCCGTGCCTTGACTGAATGTAAACAACTTCCAGACGTAGACGTAAGTTAATAGTGCATTTATGCATTTTACACTAGGAGAGATTTTGTAAATACATATTATTTATTATTTTGTGTAGTTTTTTTTCTATATTACATTTACCTTTTACGTCTTCTCAGCCAGTACAGTCAAAAACCACCCTACAAAACAAACTCTGTGCTTAATCATCTGCCAAATTGGTCACCTGAGAAAATAACCCATCATGAAACTTAAATACTTTAAGAGGCGGTTCACAAGCTCAGGTTTATCGTAGTCCAAGCCCAAAATCCGGAAATAATCAGTATTTGCGTGGCGACTGAAAAAAACGGGTTCACGAGCTCGAGACTGTATAAGCCGCGGACCAAACTAATAGGCTCCACACAATTAGTGCAGGGATAAAACCTGGTTTTAAAAGTCCAACTACAGTTAGTCCCAGCTTTCGATCATTAGTCCTGGTGGGTTTACGAGTCACGTCCTAGCTCAAAAGAGATGGTCCGAGCCCAAAGAACAATGGTGTTTGGTCTCCAACTCAGACCTGGTATGAGACAAGTTTAAGGTGATATCATGCCGGTTCATATCTTTACTGTATTATGTTAACCACTACGTACCACCACTTCACTACCTCGCATATGACCAGCTCGTTATCATGACTAAAACCCTTTAATGACTTGATGAATTTAAAGATAGATTTAGATGTTCCAAAGATGCCGTCAATGAGTCGTTTGAGGCGTTCACTCCAAGGCACGGATTTCCCGAACACAGAATCCATTACAGTATACTACATTGAAAAAAAGATGTTAGTTTCAATAAGATTTTTGGCTGATTTATTATATGGTTTATTTGTATGTTAGTAAAGCTTGGATGGTAGCTATTTGTTTGGTAATGAAAGCAGAATAAATCAAATTTCAAAACTAAACTAAAAGAATAACAAACAATGTTTTCCTAAATATGAACAAACGCATTGTAATGCCAATGAAACTGATTTCAAAAATCGCAACAACACAAAATGTAAGGTGGGTTACACACTGGTGTCGCAGACACGTGTCGTTTCTTATGAAATTGAATGGGACATGAATGTCTTTTGCCTGTCTCTTGTCGTATGTCGCATGACCGTGATTGCCGGTCAGTCATGTGCAAAATGTCATCAGAGGAGGATGAAGTGATGTTATTACTTGCAGTTGTGAGACGAAGACGTTGTCGATGTAGTTTTCACATACCTTGTAGATATTGGATCCACCCCTACTAGACTGCCAATGTTGAGGGTTCAAGTCAGTTTGTTACCACTCAACAAGCAAAACGATAATAACGAAGCATATAACTTCAAAAATTGTTTTAGGATGGAATATGCTACTTTCAACAAACTTTGTAATTTAGTGAAGAACGCCTGGCGGGAAGAGTGGGAGACGTCAGGCGCATGCGAGGAGCAGGTGTCTCGTAAGACATGTCGTACCAAACACCGACCAACCGGTTCCGTGCGACACAAGTCTCATACACAGATGATGTCTCAAACATATGTCGTAAGCAGTGTGTAAGCTCTGATTTGGTAACACTGGTTTGTTTCACGTGCGACATGCCTCGGACACGAAAATGACGTACGACACGATGTCTGCGACACCTTATTACCTTATTCTTCACCGAGACCAGCTATGCCGGATAGGTTGTGTCAATTACAATTTATAAAATTAAATAATATACTGACTGATACGCTTGTATCTTACTATTTACATATATGTACACATTACTTATGGCAGTGGATGTAGCCTCAATTTAGTTTCAGTTTAGTCTTTAAAATAACTCTTCCAGGCTATAGAGTGGCCTTTCTACTAGCCATGCCTTCAACACTTTATTAAACTTCCTTGTTTCAAGATTGTTGTAAATCTTGAGCGCTATGGTCGGGAAAGCATTTTTAGTTTTAGAAAACCTGCAAAAGGGAAGGTCTATTTCCTGATTATGTCTTGTTTTGTACGTATGGAATGTATTTCTGGTCGGAAAATTTTGAATGTTGTTTTTTACATATGATGCACATAGGAGAACAAAGTGGCTGTAAACTGTTAAAATTTTGGTTTCTATAAAAAGAGGCTTGCAGTGGTCCAATCGTTTTCTAAAGGTTATTGTCCTGATAGCCTTCTTTTGCTCTAGAAGAACTTCATGGCAGTTAGGCGCATGCCCCTAAAGCAGCAGGCCGTAGCTCAGCACGCTATGGAAGAGAGCGTGATAGACGACAAGTAGGTATTGTGGTGTTACCAGCTTAGACAACTTTCTTAACAGACACACAACTCTCGATAACCTTCTGCATACGAACTCAATTACGCTCAGACCAAGTCAGTTTGGGGTCAATGGTGAAACCGAGCAGATTAACTTTAGTTTCAATCTGTGGATGTCTAGTTAAGGTGCACACGATCTTCTGTGTCTTACCCTCGTTCAGCTTGAATTTATTGGCTGAGAACCATGTCTTGGCTTCCTCAAAAAAAAAATTCTGCGTTGTCGAGAGCTTGAGCAGGAGTAGGACCTGTTGACAAAATTGTAGTATCGTCTGCAAATCTTAGTGCTGAGCCATTTAAGTCAAGGTCATTGATTGAGACCAGAAATAGAATTGGTCCCAGTACCGATCCCTGAGGAACGCCATGTTGGATTGGCAAAGGTCTTGACTGAGCACCACTAAGTGATATCACTTGCTGCCTATTTTCCAGGTAGAACTTAATGGACAAGAGAGCAACGCCCCCCACACCGTAACGTTCAAGTTTCCCTGTCAAGATGCTGTGAGATATGCAATCAAAAGCTTTGCTTTTCCTTGACTAGTGTGTAACCCGCCTAAATAAAAAACCATAGCTGTTTGTTTACATAAATAATATTACGAGCAAACTACAGAATATTATTTCAACATTTTACAGCTATATTATTAGAGAGTGTAAGAATAACGGATAGAATATTCTTAGATTACAACCAAGGTTAAAGACCAGCACTCACATATGATTTTTTATCTAAATAGTCAGTACCTCTAAATACATTTTAGTTTCAATAATTATACCATTTAAATAAGTTTAGTTAAAATTAGCCTATCCAAAAATCACCATCCTAAATTATCGGGTATTTATGCAAAATAGGCATTTATCCGGTTATAAATTCCTGGGTTATTTTATGTCATGCATCTTAATTGAATTACAATAATGCACGCAAAGACTTCCATTATCTGATTTCATACAAACGTCGCTTGTTGTGTTTATAAATCAATAAACTTTGATAGATTACTATATGTGAGCATTGAGGCAATAAAATACACGAAAAATAATAGTTTTCGACGTTATGGTTTAGCCTTTTTTCACGATCATCCTGTTGTATGGAAGTGCATATGACAGCAGCAGGGGCTTCACAAGTGTTTCCAGGCTGTTGTTACCAACGTCTCAACAAAAATTCCCTGCGAATCCCTGTCATTAGGCTCCGCTTCGGATTTGGTCTCGACCAACAATAAGCCCAGCTTTCACAACATTAGGCTGGGACCAACGTCTGGTCGCAGACTATGAAGTCCCGATCTTGTGAACCGCCCCTAATACTTTATTATGAAATGGCGACCATACAAATGTTGGTATTTTAAGCAAAGTACGAATGGAGATGAGTGGAGGATCTTGTAGTCTTGTTAGTGACTAAGGCCAGGCCATAGACAAATATAATAAATATAGACTGTCAAAGGAAGGTTCTGGCGCACACCGCTAGGAATGCCTTGTAGTTACAGCACACACTGCAGCGTCTGCTGGTAGCATACGGCTCCTGTGCTCCTCGCCTGCAGCGGCGTGTGCCGTAACTACATGCCACTCCTAGCGGTGTGCGCCGGAACATATGCTAACCGCAGCACTGCTGCCGGTCTATATGTATTCAATTTTGCTCCGTAGGTAGACACAGCTGTTAATAATTAATTAATACTAGTGTACCTGTTGCTCGAATTCGAGCAATTGCGAAGCATGCGACTCAAAGATTACGGAAATACTCACAATTGTCACAACAGTTAGATAAAATCAAAATCTTTGTAAATATCTTATTTTTTCAAAAAGCTGATCTTGTTTTTTTAGTGTTTTAGTGTAAAAAAAACAATATTTCTATTTATTTTATTTGGTTGTGTTCTATGACTTTTTCTATGTTTCCATTGTTTGCAAATCGGTTATTTCAATGATTGCTCAAGAAATTTAGCACAGTGTTAATTCAGTTTTGTTTTTAGCCTATATAAAATTAGTTAGGATTTATCGCTATTTTCCATTGTAATAATTACACCAACCCAAGTTTTGTCTACAGATGCAATATGCCAAAGAATATCACCTACGCACAATCACCAAGAAGTGGTAAAAAAAGGCAGAAACCAACCCATACAATAGATACCTATAAGTTAACTCCATAAGAAACAATTTTAAAAGTTACTGTGATATTAGGATTTTCCACTCATTTGGTAATAGAACATTATATTGCAAAACATGACACGATGCAGAAGAAAATAAATTTTGAAAATCCATTGCAAATACTGTACTTCATTTTGACAAATTCAATAAATCACAATTTAAATATTAACAGCTGTTGCATTAAAAAGTAGTGTAGAATTATGCATATGGTCGTAATGTAAACAAATCTGAAGAGGCAACTTTAAAGGCTTCTGGGGCAGAGCCCCAAGGGAGTTTACCTCTTTCCTCTTTTGATGGCTCATCTACAGACCAAGACCTTTCTTTAGAGACCCCTACCAAGTTTCTACGCCCACCCGTTCTCTAAAATTAGCTGTGACAAAAACCCCGTTTTCTTCCATAAGAATAACATGGGATGGGAATTTAAAGGCCACGGAGGCAGAGCCCCAATGGAATTAACCATGTTTCTCTTTTGATAGCTCATCTACAGACCAAGACCTTTCTTTAGACACCTCTACCGAGTTTCTACGCCCAGCCGTTCTCTCAAAATAGCTGTGACAAAGAAAAACAGTTTCAAATTAATATATAGACTAGTGGAACCCCGTCGAAATCGACGGTTAATCTTGAGGTTTTATGTAAATTCAGCTAACTGCGTTGGATAGAGTGAAGTCATTAAAATCTTAGTTATATGAAGGGAGGATAAGCAATAATAAGTATGACGATCGTGTTCCCTAAAAAACGTGATTGATGAATTCGTTTAACACAATATTTCCTACCTTTCTTTTTATCGGCTTTAGGTTGCCCAAAAGGTTTTTTAGGAGTCTTATAATTGTTTGTTCATGAGTATATTTCATACCAAAGCCACTTTCACTATATGGGAGAATGAGTTCATATAATTAGTCTATCATGTTACGGAAAGAGTCAATATTTATTACTAACCACTAATTCCATCTGCTTTAGGAAAATCATTCAGATTGTATCCGGATTTATAAGTAAATCTTCATCTTTTTTTTAAATATCTGATTCTCCAGAAAGCAGTAACATTCTTACTTCGATCTCAGAAATTTTAATCCTTCTCTTGCCACATCGACCCATGTATTTAATCATCCTGTTCTTACTTGATAATTCATTAACTTATGGGGTAGTTTTGCCTTGGCCATATAGATTACATAAAGCTGTGCACGTATTTCGTGGATTGGAATGAACCATAATTGTAGGAAATTTTATCACAAATCTTGAACATTTGCGGAACCAAATCCATAACCTAGTTAGGCATTGGTAAGAAATTATACAAATGCGATGAGATGTGATGACACTGTTGTGTTTCCGAATGTTTTGTATGTAGTGAGGTTTAGATGCGTTGTTCAACCTAGCTACATGTGTACATCAAAGTAAAAACTGTGTACACATTTTTTTTTAATACCTGAATTGACATTAGTTCACCTACTATACCAAAACCATAGACTCCGTAGTTAGTCTATTTCAAAACTTGAACACAGCTCTCATCCTCAACGTACTCATCTATGACACAATTTTCAACCCGATTATCAAAAACTGTTATACCAATAAATGAATTTCAGGTGTTCTTTCTTGAATTTAAAAATAAATGGTGATTGAAAGTAGGAAAAAAGGCAAGTGCCAACCTTACAATATGTATAAGCTAACTCGATAAGGAATAGTTATATATTCCTTTGAAATTGATAAGTCACACTTATTATTTCATAATTTAAAATTTTCTAAGAGCAATAAAGCATAGATTTTTGAACAAAACATTTCAAACGTATCATAAATTCATCATTTTGTTGAAACTATAAAAAACTTGCCATGCAGTGGAGAATCCATTTAAAATCATAAATAATAATGTATACATTTAATTTTGACAGTTTCAGTAGACCTTTGAATACAATTTTAATATTAACAGCTGGTTCATTAAAAGTAGTGTAAAATTATCCATATGGTCGAAATGTAAACAAAATTGCAGAGTGAACTTTAAAGGCCTCTGGGGCAGACCCCCCAGAAAATTTACATCGTTTCTCTTTTGAGGGCTCACCTACAGACCAATACCTTTCTTTAGACACCCCTACCAAGTTTCTACGCCCAGCCGTTCTCTCAAATTAGCTGTGACAAAAACGTTGTTTTCCTCCATAAGAATAACATGGGATGGGAATTTAAAGGCCACTGGGGCAGAGCCCCGAGGGAATTCTCCATGTTTCTCTTTTGATGGCTCATCTACAGACCAGGACCTTTCTTTAGACACCTCTACCGAGTTTCTACGCCCAGCCGTTCTCTCAAAATAGCTGTCACAAAGAAAAACAGTTTCAAATTAATATATAGATCATTAATATATAGATAGCCCATACAGCCAATGACAACTAAGGGATCTTAGGGAACTTAGGGACCTACAGTTTATAGTGGAATCCAAACCACATTTTTGCCAGTACTGAATAGATGCAATGACTATTATTGTATACTGGAGTTGTATCAATCGTCAAAGGTATAGATGGCTGCTGGAGAGTCCGCATTTCAAATAAAGAGATATTCCATTGAGCAATACTACCAAGAAATGTTAACATAAACTCTCTAGAAATTCTAAGATTGTACTTCTTCCCAAAACATGCACAATAAAAACATTTTCTCTTGAGTTTTATAACCACCCATTTTTTATTTTATTCATGTATTATTCACTTGTATTTTTGAAAAATGACTTTGAAATTGGGGAATAACTAACATTAATGCTCAGTAAAAACACTAAAATATATTAACATATTTACATACATCAACAAAAAATGAACATGTAATGAATGTTGGTAAAATAACAACTAAAAAGCTAATTTGTTAAAAAGCTAACTAATTTTGGTACTCAGACCAATAGGTGTTTGTTTGGTAATTTTTTTCTAAGTAATTGTACCAATTTCTGTGTATATTTACCTTTTGAAAAAAAAAAGATTGCATTAATTTAAAACTCTCATTTATTTCAGATCCTAGTTCCATCGTGCTCATAGTAGGCCTACTTTAAAATTATATTAAACTCTACGTTGTAACATAAAAATACATTAGAAAAAGAATTGTGACAAATCACAATCAGTTAATCGAATTACATCAATATGATACATTAATTACATATACAAAATCGGCTTGAACAAATTTGAGACCTTCACTCCTCTTAATTTAACTTAATTTACTGATTTTGCACACACAGTCCCTAATATGTGGGTTTGAAACACCCATTACCTTTATTTAGTACTATAATTCATCTCACTTTTTGTCAATTATAATATTTCATTCACATTTATTTGCATTTTTTAATTTATTTTGATTTAAATTTCTCACATTTTACAATTAATCAACTGGTAACACTCAACTTAAACAATTAAAATGTTATTTCCTTCTTGCCTATTTGAACTTTTAGTTTCTTGTGATTTTAGTATATTCATATTAAATTAATCACACTCATATTAAATATTCAAAATCTTATATCCTTCCCACTTGGTGACATTTTTTCTGTTATCGTCACCACCCCCCTTGTGGTCTCGTTTGCGGTGTGTGTGATGGTCGTACTTGGTTTGGAACAGTTTACCGCAGGAGCACACCACCCGATGTCTGAGTATCTCGTGCATGCTGACCAGATGGTTACGCAGCGTCGCCGCATCTCTATACACCCTGTGACACTTGGGGCACGGTCGTGGCTCGTAGAACGCTAACTTCTTTTGTTGTTGGAGCACCATCTTTTCTATAAAAAAAGTGTATGTTTTTTATCAATGTAAATTTTGTTTCCAGTGAAACTTAGTTTGTTATTTAATATTTCTGAGACCTACTAGTATCAGAGGCCTAGATGGTGTTTCTAGCAGAGGACAATTAAGTCATAGGTTGTGCAAAAGGGAATGGAGCTGGTTTAGTGGTGGAACAAGAGACTTCGGTCCCCAAGGTCCAAAGTTTAAACTACAACTACACCATTGACCAATGGATTTTATCTGAGTGATAATGCCACAACTCTATACTCGTGCTTTGCCTTTGCAATAGGATGAGATGTTTTAAGAAAATTTGGTTTATGGTATATTACAACTTACGGTGTAATATAGTTAAACACATCTACCATAGCCATGTAATGATCTACCACTGCACCTAAATAATAGAAAAAAAGTAAAATTCTCTTAGCTTTTTATGCTGCTTGGTTCAAATTAGCTGTTGTCATAAATGCAAAAAGAAAAAGAATGAATAGTGCTGCACCCTGTTGGTAAACCTTATAACCTTTCAATGCTATTGAATATCATAGAACCAACTTGTGTTGTTGATACAGCTGGCAAAATTCTTTAATTCCTTTTCAATATGAATACTCATAAGGTTAACATGGGAAACTCTAGAGAAAATGGGGCGGAGCCCAAAAGGATTTTTGATATAAGAATCTTACTAATATTATAAATGTGAAAGTTTGTGTGTTTGTTTGTTTGTTTGAAGTTCAATCACGCATTAACTACTGGACGGATTGGGCTGAAATTTTGCATGATGATACCTCATATTCCCGATTAACATATAGGCATATTCTTATCTCAAAAACACTTTCAGGCTCCGCCCCAGTGGCTCTGTAGTTCCCCATGTTAACCTTATGAGTATTCATATTTAAAGGGAATTAAAGAATTTAGTCAGCTGTTTCAACTAAAAAAGTTGGTTCTATGATATGGAAAGTATTAAAAAGTTATGAGAGTTACCAACAGGGTGCAGCACTATTATTTTTTTTGCATTTATGAAAACAACTTATTTGAACTAACTGTCAAAGTAGGATTGTTTACTGTTATGTTTATGTTTTTAATTGCATGAATAATTTGTGATGTTTTGCAAAGTTTTAATTATTTATTTTTCTGTATTGTTTAGGTGCAGTGGTAGAACATTATGGCTATGGTAGATGTGTAATACTATAGTATAGCGTAAATTTTATTATAGTAAACAGTTTTGTTCAAATGTGTCCTACCCCATTGCAAAAGCTAAGTTAGAGTATAACACTGCAATAAACATTTTGCACTTATATGCCAACCCCGTACGAAGGACGGGTACTCAGCTAGTGTGTCTATATTTTAATCGGGAATGTGAGCTATCATCATACCAAATTTCAACCCAATCCGACCAGTAGTTAATGTGTGATTAAACTTCAAACAAACAAACAAACTTTCACATTTATATCATTAGTACGAAGTATGATAAACAAGTAGAGTAGACACAGCATGTCCCATCTTAAGATGAAGCTTTGACCATTGATAGTACTAGACATACCATCCCCATGTTAAAATCGTTGCCAGTTTTTAATGGAAATGGACATAGTTGAAGTAAGCCGACTGGGTGTGCTGCTGTCAACTACTGATTTCTGCCATAAACCCTGATTTTATTACCAAACTGAAAGGCCAACTTTACAGTAGCCTAAACTATAGCATCTATTGTCCAGTTTTTTTATTAGCTAATCTTTTCTTTTCCCATAACTTAACCACAATCGCATACGACAATGATTATGTTTCCGTTACTGCAAAGAACATTCAGGATTTTTCTTTGACTGCAGGAAAGAATGTGGAGACGATATTGTCTACACGACCACTGGAGATGATTACGATATTACCTCGAGTTTGGCTCGGTAAAAGATTACAGGCTGCACACGTCTGGTTATAATTTTCTTTTGGATATTTTTTCTTCTATCTTCATTTACCCTTAGGCCCCTATTAGACGAGGTAGCCTGGCGACGTCGCCAGCGACAGTAGCTGGCGACGCACTGGCCACCAAACCTATTAGCCAGTTGAGTAGCTAGAATTTTACCGCCATTACTCATTTTGTTGTGAGTGCTTGTCTTGTACTTGTACTTGTTATAAAGTCACTAATAAAGTTTTCAGTGTTCAACTTTGTGTTGGCCAACTTCTGACACTTTTTCATGAGCTCTTCTTGCTTTTTCTTTGATTCTTTCTTTTGTTCGCCTTTCGGAGGTTCTTCTTTTTTCTTCATATCTTCGCGTATCCCTTCGACTGAATCATATGTAGACATTTTATCAACTGAAGTGAACAATTCACCCACTCACAACACAACAGAACGCAACACAACAGTGTGCAAGTACCCCCGTGATATGAACTGACCGAGTGGCGACGTGACCTAGTGTAATAAGCACCATATGCTACAACGCAGCGTCGCCAATATGGGTAGCCAGTGGCTACCGCAGTGGCGACGGGGCTCGGTAGCCAGTCGGTCGCCAAAGTGTGGCTGCGTCGCTGGCTACCCTCGCGAATAACATCCATAAGAATCAATGACCCTTGACAAGCTGAGTAGCCAGTTTGGTCGCTGGCAACGTCGCCAGGCTACCTCGTCTAATAGGGGCCTTAATATGCTATAGGCTATATTCAATGTGTTTAGAAGTGTTAAAATTTACATTTTGGCTAGTTCAAATTTTTTATTGCTGCATTAATTTTTGATTGAAAAACACCCAGATTAGAACACACTCCATTACTCCAAAATTATTTTATGGAAGGACATGAGGACAGGGGTTGTTGTAGGATAACCAATCTATTCAGACATTTTGGTATTTTTTTAACGGTATTGGTATTGAGAATCAGTTTTTCAGGCATTGTTATCGAGAATCCATAAATTTTGGTATCTATATTTCTGTACTTAGTTAAAACCAAAATTTCATCTTGTGAGTAGTATAAGAAAAATACTTTACAAATTTTTCACAAAACGTTCAACCCCACGTAATCTGTGATATCATTATTCAAACACTTAAATGAATAATTACAACTTACGTCAATCAATCCAGTAATATTTACGGAGGACGCAAGTTTCGACCTTTAGGTCATCTTCTGCTCCGCTGTTAGGTTATTCATTATTATTTATTTAAATGTTTTTGTCTTCGTCAGCGTTGTGTTTTTGTGTTTTTATGTTTACGTAGTCAGACTATGTTTTTCAATGTAAAATATTTGACGCCGTTGCTACACCAACAATGCAACTAAGTATGGAATAACCTAGTGCAACAGCGGAGCAGAAGATGACCTAAAGGTCGAAACGTGCGTCCTCCATAAATATTACTGGATTGATTGACATAAGTTGTAATTATTAATTTAAACATCAATCCGTTTGCTACAAATCAATCATGCTTAAATGAATAGCTTGTGAATTATAAGCTAAAGAAATATTGGAACATATAAAAGTTATTATACCTTGAATTGAAAATTTTAAACCGGCTTGACAAGTGTCATTTTGATCGCTATGTGAGACATACTTCGTTGTTATTGGACTGGTTGGTGTTCGATTGCACGGGTCTTTCAGGTTTTGTGTGTTTGATTCTTCTTCTTCCAGTGGCTCCTGTTTAATAACCATGTCAGTTCTTTCACTCCCATTGGTTTCGCATTCCTAAAAAGACATAAACCATAATACCGTAAGTTAACAAAGTTGCAAGCAATATTGAGTTGCAGTATTTACTTGTCTATAACTACAAGTTTTGTCATCCCGCTGCTAAAACAGCAGTTTTTTGCTTAAACAAATTAGCTGTTGTTCATGTTTATCACTTGTTCCACCATGTGGCTAATAATGAATTCTAAGGCGTGACCTACATTGGTAGCAGATTTTTTTCTGATCACTTAGCCAACCCGACCAGAGCAGACCTGACTTTTCAGACCGGAAGCGGGTTGACGCTCCTACACGACAGCCAGTATCATGGTCTTTACTCAATAACACTCGACTGTCACACTGCACACAGCATTTGTGTTGTTATTAAAGTTATTAACCTTAACTTGTTGTTGAACTTATTTGTTAATTAAATTTTTTATAATTTTGTGTTTTAGGCGACTTTACCATAGTTTTTGTTGTTTAGTTTGTTGGTTATTGTTTTCGGAGAAAAAATGGATGATGAACTTTTTGTTTTAATGTTATTGGACAGCAATTGAGGTTTCGGTAGTATTCGTCTTTCTGGTTCCACAAAGCCACTTTCTTAGGCACTAATTTCATCAACGTATATATACCAATGTACGTGTTATTATGTCAATGTGTATTGTTTTTGGCCTACATCTAAATTACCATTTGAAATTCCCAACTTAAGTTCTAACTTCTAAGTTCCCTTAGAAATAAGAAATAACCAAAACTGTATAGCTTTAAGCTCTTGTTTATTATATTTTTTATAGTCACTTAAGCCACGGCCAACTTTGTCAACCATTTTAGCTTTAGCACAATATAAAAAACAAACATACAATATAAATAACCTCAACTATGCACCAACCTCGGTCAAAGTTTTGAAATTCAAAGCGACTGGGTCTGGTCTGACCGGGTGAAAAAACAAATTATTTTGATTCGTTTCCAACAAGTTCAGACTCATTCCTCCCTCCCGGCACTACAGTCGGTGCCAGTGTAGGAGGGGAGACAGCGATACATATGTTTGTTTCCGGCACACCCGCCTAGACCGTCCAATTCCGCTTCCAATGTAGGTCGCACCTAATGAATATGTAATGAATTCTTGGAAAAAATGTTATATTTATAAGGAGGAAAATGTAAAAATAGAAATAATCTGACTAATGAACAAGTTAATTTGGACTCCAGTATGTATATTTACCATCTTGTGAGTTGCAAATATATGTTTTAAGTGTTGTAAGACGTATCTTTTATTTACTTTCTGTAGGCCTATGTTCGTTAGTACTGTAACTCAAGCAAAAATCATTTGATTTTGATGAAATTTGGTACAAACCTGCAAACCTGTAAATTTGTGCTGTTCAGACAAGTTTGCAAACCAACATAATCAGAAAATTAGAACCAGCGATTACAGGTGTTTTTGTAGAAATTGGGCTTTCTTATTTTTAACCCTAAAAACATTTTGTAGAGCTTAAACAAATACAAATAATGACATAGTACTGGGGGACCGAGCCTTGCTTGGCTAATTGGGTGTATTGGTTAATTTTAATCAAACAATATCGTAAACAAACACATTTTATAATTATTTTATTACAAACCATAGACATTTGATCGCTGAAATAAGAAACAACTCCGTATTGTTGTACTCTGTAAAAGTATGCACTTTAAACAAAAAAGATATACTTTTATGATCTTGACTATTAAGTGCTACTTGAATTTAATGTTTCCCCCTTTAGTCACTGAAACCCGTTGTTGGACGTTTACACTCACCAATGACAGCTGCAGATAAAAGTATACAGTATAAACAAAATCATAATTTCTTAAAATGCTTGTCACAACGATTTTTGCTTTTGCGCTACTACTTATAAAAAAAATGTAGATTCTATCTCTTTATTCATTGGGATGTAGCATACGGTAATAGTTTTATGCCAATTGAAACCCCAGATGTAGTTAATTTACTTAGAATATTGTTATATTGATATGATCAAATATATTTCTGCCAATTAAGCCCCCATAAGTGCAGTGCTAAGATGTTTAGTTACCAAATTAGTTTTTTTTTTTTTTTTTTTTTTTGTAACATTCAGTTTCCTGTGATAGGCCTACAGGTCCACCAATATTTTTTTTAGCTCCAAAATGATTATCTTTTCCTAAATTTAAAACATTTTTCTTCTCCTAACTTTTAAATAAATTTAGTTAGAACATCCACAAACAGTGTAATCTTTGCTCAGTACAACTGATGTTTTTCCCTTTGTATGTATTTTGTAATTAGCTAGTATACTGTTGATAGCTTGTTATAAACACATGCTACAAGTCGTTTGTTTACTTTATCCTTGTTATTTTATTCAACCATCTTAGTAATTTAGCAAACCAGAAGGCCAATGTTAAAATTTACATTTTCAAATGAGTTGTGAAGTGAAATACAAATTTTCCTGAGGTAGTGGCTGTCGCCAATCCCATTTTTTGGGCTACAAGTCCCTAATTCCAAAATTTAATCAAAATCCTTCTGCTGGTTTTTGAGATATATATTACAGACAGACAAACAGACATTGCTCGTATTAGAATATAGGATATTGTAGTTGCCTTTAACCATAGACAAAAGGAATTAAATATAGACTGTCAGCCGTGCTGCGGTTACCATAGGTTTTGGCGCATACCGCTGGGAGCACCGTGTAGTTTACGTAGTGCGTACGCCTAACTACATGGCGCTCCCAGCGGTGTGCGCCAGAACCTATGGTAACCGCAGCACAGCTGACGGTCTATATTTAATTCTTTTTGTCTATGCTTTAACTCGTTAAAACCCAAATGACTAGTTAACTTACACTTTCAGTACCGCTCTGGAATTCATTTCTTCTCACAAAAGGGTTGAATGTTTCTACATTTGAGAATAACTCATTTACTTCCTGTGTTGTAGAATGGACTCCTGTTTGATGGGAATCGTTTATTTCATCAAAACCATCTAGATTTTCTTTTGGAATCTTAAAATCTGATGAACGCTGAAACAATAAATGGACAATGGTATGATGGTTAGCATGGATATTGCATTTTTCATTCCAATTATCTATGTGCATATTTGGGGAGGTTATAGGGGTTGCAAAGGTTGTCGATTCAACTAAAAAGTCTAATCACGCAAGGCTTTACTACAGTGGTAAATTTATTTAAGAGAATTTGTGTCCTATGAACTTTAAGATTTATTCTTTACCAGATTTTTCAAAACTCAAAACTATAAAGAGTATTTCCATTTTTCCATTTCCATTTCGTTTTGTCATGAGAGCCGAAGCCCCCTGACTGCATACCCGGTACCTATCCTTTAGGACATACCCGGGCCCCATGATGTAGGCCGAAGCTTACGCATCAACCTTTAGCACATTATGGGCGGATGACTTAAGGTCATCAGGCTCGCCGGCTGCCGAAGCAGACCCTTCGGAAGGAGGGTTGCCCCTCAATCCTAACCAGGGATTCCGGCTGCTTGTTTAAGCGTCACTCCACCTGGGTTCCACTAGGTCGAGACCTAGAGGTCCATGGTGGAGCGCCCCGACGCATTTAGTGCAAGCAACACTCGGGACCTATCTAATCCCTGACAGGCAGAACCCGCCATCGATAGCCAGGAGGAAGGGGACCGTCAGCGGGAACCCCAACCTCCCATTTACACCGCTGCCCGATCGAGGCCTTACCCATTGCTGGGAAACCAGAGATAACCAGAGCGATAGATCCCCAGATACCCCTGGCGGGCTCGGACCCAGCACCCGATCTACTTCGTTTGCCCGTCAGACCCAACATCACTGCCAGGCCATCAGGGTTTCCCAAAAGGAGGCAGGTATAGAAGTGGAACCCACCCGGATGAACCTATCCACCAGAGGTGGCGACACCCTTGACTCAATTGAGGTTCCGGGAAGAACCCCCCACACTCAAGATAACCATACCGTCCGTGCTCAGAGACAGGGATTGGTTTGCATAAGTACCTACAAACCGTTGCCCTCACACTGCGGAAAGTTACGTTGCCCTTGAGTGTCCCCGTGAGCTGCGGGTACTTGCCCGTTTTCACCTCCAGGAAAGGTTACTTCCAAAGTCGAGGATTTGCCCACTGAATGCTGGTCGCACACAACAAGCAGGCCGAAGCCCAAAGAACCACAGACACAGGTAGGTTAGAGATTATGATGTACTTCCATCTCTCCTAGAGCTAAACACCCCTCCATCCTGGATAAAGGAATGTCACTGGGACCCGATGCCCAGTCGTCCATGTCTGTGGCCAACTTGAAAATGCCGATACCAACACGGAGCATTTACCTCCCCTCTGGGGGCTAGGTATTTCACCTCCCAGGACGAGGCTACTTCCAAAGTCGAGGATATGCCTCACAAAATGTCAGTCGTACACGACAGGTAGGACTCAGTCACAACCACAAGCTACAGGCAGGTGAAAGATCTATGAACTTAATCAACACTAGCAGAGCTGAACACCCCACCACCCTGAATGGAGGGAATGTCACTGGGTACTCTCACTTTGGGTAAACCCAAAGAGGCTGGCTTGTCCAGTCGTCCATAGCTTGTGGTCTACCTGAAGTGCCGGTTCCAACACCGGGCAATTACCTCCCCTCTGGGAGAGCTAGGGTCCGCGTGGTCGCCCAGGCCACGAACCCACGCAAGCGTGAGCCCCCTGCGGTTACTATAAAGAGTATACCTGAAGTACCTAACTAATGTTCCTTACCTGACCGTATTCAGAAGTCAAGCCTCTTATTTCAAGGAAGTGAGCTGCTTCCAGCAGCCGAGGAACATTTTCTTGAAAAGTCCTTGCTTCTCCATGATAAATGAACATTAGAAGAGGCTCCAACTCAGACAGTGTGATTCCTTTCAGCACAATCACTGGATGAGGACAGATATTTTCCTGTCACCATAAAAACAGTTAGAATTTACATTACGTAGGCCTATAGCATTTTTGGTGCTCTTTCCAGAATCATTGTCATGTAAAAGCTGTTTATATTATGTATTTGTTAAATGTTAAAAAAGGAGTTTACGTAACATAACTAACTCATGCCATGTTCAAGATAGATGAGAAAATCCTCAATAAAATATATTTAATTTTTTTTAAACTTAAACGCATGCACATTCCGGTACCTACATGATTCATATGCTTAATAAAATTTAAATCTTGATGAGCCTCACAAGTGGTTTCATTCGATGTATATAAAGTCTAACTGGATTACGCTCGGCTGTTAAGCGAAAACGGTCCACCGCCGCCGCGCCGCTCCCTAAAACACTTGTGGGGAACGGAGCAGCCCAACAACATTGAAATTGCATTGTAACCGCCAAAATCTCACACTTTTTAACGTTCGTTTTGTTGGTAGCATGTATTAATTTCATTTTCTTCTTGGTGTCTGATATTCTACATGAATTTGCCTCTTTAGTGCATTCACAAACTGTTATTTAAAAGACACAGAACACTACTTTGAAATTATATCTACGTGTAGTCATGGATTTATAATGATTTGATAGTACACATTGCTACTCAAGTCATTTTGGTTGGATAGTCCATCGGATAACTCTAAATTACATTAACGATTGTTACTTTTACAAGTTTGAGAATACTTTTGCCAGGTCTGTGCACAGTACAATACAGTACTGCATTTCATGTGTATATAGCCACTCACAATGTAAGGCAGAATAATCATAGGAAAAATTTAACAACATATTTAGTTGTGATTAATCTTTAATTTATCTAATAAGCAACACAACTGATTATATATAACAATTATTAGTCATTTTCTAACGTCATTAAACAAAATACAGGGTGATTACAAATGAAATATACAAACTAAATTAAATACAAACTGCCTATTTAATTTTTAATCACCCTGTAAGTTTCGGTAGCTTGTGATAAACGTCGAAGTTTTAATAATTACTTTCACCGTGTTTTTATTTACTCACTAAGTCAATATATTTTTTTAAACAACATGGGGATAATTTTAACTAACATAACGTCATGACATTCTTCACTAAGATCTGTATTTTATTTTGTGACCTCGGGACCCATTACGCCATTCTGCAAAACTTCTTGAAGCCAAAATACATACAGAGTGTCCCAGAACTATCTAGACCCCTTTTGTATATTTTGTTCCTTAGGTCAAAACAATGCAAAAACACCATATAAACAAGGGGGGGGGGGGTAGAATGCCTGGTTTTCTGTCTATGTGTCTGTATGTAATTTTTACAAATGAATAACTTTCAAAATCCTTAAGCGCAAAATCCTTAATACTTGAAACTTGGTACATAAGTAGTAAAAAGTAAGTTTAATCTTTGCACAAAGTATCAGATATATAAGTTGTACCAATCCAAAATGGCGGTAATTAAAAATTTTCTATCTTTAATATCTTTGAATTAAGTGATGATAAAATAAAATATTGAGAAAACGTGTTTTTAGGAAATTTTATGAAAAACCCAACGGTTTTAAAGTACCTACAGTAAAGATAAGTTAAAAATAACCAAGTTCTAACAGTTTTTGTGAGGCCGTGTATGAATGTTATGATGTTTTAATTTTTTCTCCCATTGTTGCACCATGTCGCATTGGTGATGTATGGTGCAGAGGACTGTACCTCGCACGGTCTCAGAAAAAGTATTATAAATTAGCATTAAGTTTCCTAAAAATGCTCACTTATTTTAAAGATATTTAAGATAAAAGATTTTTAAATGGTCGCTATTTTGGTTTGGTACAATTTATAAATCTGATACTTTATGCAAAGATTGGAATTACTTTTTACTACCTACGTACCAAGATTCAAGTCAATTGCTTTTAGGAGTTAGAATGTTATGGATTTATTTACCGGTACGTGGAAATCACATACAGATAGAAAACCTGGCATCTTAGACCTACCGGTATGTTTATATGGTGTTTTTGCATTGTTTTGACCTAAGGAACAAATCCCACAAAATGGCTCCAGAGAGTTCCGGGACACCTTGTATAGGCTATATAAAATATTGTAGAGTTACACGGCGATCTATTTCTATTTTTTTAATTTTTTTTATCTATTTTTAAGTGTGGTATGTCGGCGGTTACAATGCTACTTCAATGCTATGGGGCCGCTCCGATCCCCACAAGTGGTGTGGGGAGAGGGGCAGTAGCGGCATGTTTTCAGAGCCATATATTCTCGTACCAGGGTGTGATCCAGTTAGATTTACATCGATGGTGGCTTCAGATGGATATTCCAGAATAGATAATCAATATGCTTCAATACCTAAAAAAAACACACTCTACTACAACTAGCCTATTCTTTTTAGTGGATGAAATACAAAATTGATAGCTGTGTTATCATTAGGTACTATACAGAGAAATAATCCCTACCTTCAATACCCTTTGGAAGAAAGAACTACTTGCGGAGAGGATGAGTCGATGAGCTTTAATGCTGCCTCCCTCGCAGACCAAGGTTACATCTACAAAGTCCTGGTGGTCCAAACTTATGTTCAAAGATGAGATAATATTATCGGTAAACCCATTCCATTTCAGACTCAGCAGGTTGTTTTCAGTTGTAGATTCCATAGTCACAAAGTTCCAGTAGGGTACCTAGTAGGCTTAGGCCTACGCTACAAAATAACCATTAGGTCTTTAAATTGTTGTACAAGTTTACAATTAACATTGAGATTTTGTGGTTGTAGAGTAGGCTATGGAATAAACTTTTTTGTTCTATACTTAGGACACAATATCTTAATTGGATGTAGAGTATCTAAACGTTGCCATACCATAATCAAAATCAAGCCCTTTTTGTCAGGGATATCAACTTATTACAAAACTCAACTAATTAGAAATGCACCACAATAACAACAACAAATATAATTTAATAATTCAAGTTCATGAAACTGGGATAGCAAAAAAAATAGCTTATATATTAATAAACAGAAGAACAGCAACATTTAACAGAATGTTAAGTTATCGGCCTCGCTGTGTCACTGTTCTATCAATCTTTGGTTTACAGGCCAAGATTAAATGATTGTAGCCAAAGGGAACTAAAGGTCCAAAAATGACAAAAGGTCAATCATCAAAGTTTTACGCAAAGTTTGAATGACGTTGATCTAATGCATGTATTGTACATAGACCCTACTGTAGCGTTTATTATGAATACAAATTCTTGATTCATCTTAAACTTAGACTACCTACATTACTTAGCCTACCCTATAAGGCTAGGTGCCGTTATACATCATGTAACTTACATAGGCCTACCTATCATATGCATTACAGATGTAAAAGTTATTACTAACCTTTTTTTCATTGTAGTATTTAACTTACTGTATGCATAAAATTTGAGAGGTATTTAGATTGTCTAGGAATGTGATGAATTCCATTAAGTTAGGCTATAGTAATTCAAATTCATGGCCGACGCTAGGCTAGGTGTTTAAGTTCCTACATCTGGTTAAAGAAAGAGTCGAATCAAATAGCCTAGAAATATCTGTAGAATATATGACTAATCATGAGCAACAATATTTAAACATTTCTTAAGTTGTAACTGTCACTTCTCTGTACATTTAAGATTGTTTATTGTATATTAAAAATAATATTAGAGAGTTCCCTACAAATGATTCGGTTCATAACCATTTTACCAGACAAAACTCTTTTCTCCGTATAAACCAATGTAATTTTATGACTAACTTACAATCAATAACTTTAGTGAATTTGGCAAAAAATTGTATAATATGTTACCTGCTCATTGCTCACATTAAATGTCTTGAAATAAAACAATTTAAATTTACTATTAGAAAGATTTTGTGAGATTTATGTGTGTATAAGGTCAAAGAATTTGTCATAGGCCTATTAAGTAGGTTAATGGATATATTGTGATAAAAACTGTACGACGTTGCTATACATGTACTTATGATGTTGATGGCAATAAATGGTTTTGATTTTATTTGAATTAAAATCCAACCAGGTCCATTTCAATTAAAAACACTCTCACATCAAACTGACACTTGAGGTAGGCCTACTTAAATTGGAGCTCGGTGGAAAAATCAATATTAGTACAGTTTATTCTTAAGAATCGAATTAAAATAATGTTAAAGTAAAAATTTAAAATTACCTTATTTAAAACAAATAAGTTGGGAAAGATCAATAACTATTATTCTTGAATCCAGGAACGCAACAGGGAAACTGATATAACCAATAAAGAATTGTTGAGGTTAGTTCACTTGACAGAAGAGTAGAGCCCGGCAGACGGCATATACACAGCTGACGCAAGACGCAATATGGCCGGCGTTGAGTTAGGTCGCCAAGGTCACACAGCGCGAGGAGAGTAATGACCTTCCGTGGTCTGCTGGCTGGACATTTTCACACGCATATATATATATATATATATATACCTTATTGAAATCATAAAAACCAGAGTACCCTGAAATTCATGTTCTGCAGAACATATATTAGAAAATAATCATAATTATGGCAAATTAGAAGAGTGTGTCAAAATTCTAAATTATGAGAAAAAGGGTCAAAAAATGTATATAAAAGAAGAATTAAAAATATACCTACATTCAAAAGAACACGGTGACCAAATTCTCAATGTAATGCAAAAGCAAAAACAAAATCCAATTCACGAAAAAATCAGACAAATCAGAGAAGAGAAGAATCTTACACATTAACATGTAAAATTACACACAAAAAATACACCTAACCAATTAATCAAAATATTGCTATGAATTTAAAACAATGTTATTAACTATTTATTTATTAATTATATTTGTTTACATACTTTTATAACACTCATACTGTGATCATGGACTTAGTGCCGAAATACATATCAGTTTAAATCAAATGAATTTCAGGGTAGGTACTCTGGTTTTTATGATTTCAATTATGTATTTAATAAAGTAGCCCTAAAAAGTGAACAGAACTATCAAAATATATACAGGGTGAGTTTTAATTGTCCCCCCCCCAATTTTTTTCTACATTTTTTCAAATATCAATCCCAGACCACTTCCAAACATTGTTGGGTAGTAAGTACTTCATTTTGACAAGATGGTCATTTCCGGCCGCCATCTTGGATCCGCCATATTGGATGCAAAAATTTTTTTTCAAAAGTAAAGGTGGGTCTGTGACCCATTATTTCGAACTAGATTTTTACCCTGATTACAATGCCGCAAACTGTTTTAAAAAATCTTGATTCATTCTAAAGTTATGAGGGCTTTTTAAAACTTTATTTTTAGCCCATTTTAACATTGTGCATTTACAAACTAAGACCATAATCTCAAAATAGTGCCAGATAAAGATAAATATACACTACCAGTAATAATCGACATATTTTCACTTGGTTATGACTGATGTATTTTTTTCGGCCGCCATCTTGGATCTGTCATTTTGAAATGTGATAAATTATTTTAAATATGAAGGGGGTGTTGTGACCCATCATTTCGAACTACTTTCTTAAGCTTAACTCAATGCCGCAATCCATTTTTTGTTATCAAGTTTTATTTATGAAATATTGCAATTATTTTGTAAAAAATGTCAATATTTAAAAATCAAAAAATGAAAATGAAAAACGGATCATGTAATTAAGTTCAGCTTAAAAAAGTAGTTAGAAATGATGGGTCACAACACCCTCTTCATATTTAAAATAATTTATCACATTTCAAAATGGCGGATCCAAGATGGCGGCCGAAAAAATACATCAGTCATAACCAAGTGAAAATATGTCGATAATTACTGGTAGTGTATACTTATCTTTATCTGGCACTATTTTGAGATTATGGTCTTAGTTTGTAAATGCACAATGTTAAAATGGGCTAAAAATAAAGTTTTAAAAAGCCCTCATAACTTTAGAATGAATCAAGATTTTTAAAAACAGTTTGCGGCATTGTAATCAGGGTAAAAATCCAGTTCGAAATAATGGGTCACAACCCCACCTTTACTTTTGAAAAAAAAATTTTGCATCCAATATGGCGGATCCAAGATGGCGGCCGGAAATGACCACCTTGTCAAAATGAAGTACTTACTACCCAACAATGTTTGGAAGTGGTCTGGGATTGATATTTGAAAAAATGTAGAAACAAATTGGGGGGGGGGACAATTAAAACTCACCCTGTATATAGGGTGGCTGAAAAGTAACTTGCACCCCCCCTTAACTATTTGAGATATTTGAAATCGGTTTGCAGCAACTTGTTTGGATATAAAGGGCTACAATAATTATGGTCAGTTTTGAAAATTTTAAATTTTGCCCTTAGGGGTAGTGGGGGTAGGGGGTAGCTCAAAATTTTCAAACAGCAAGTATAGTCGAGTTTGATATAATTTTACAGGTCTTGACAAAACATAAAAATTAACGTAAAAAAATAGAAATCTGAGCATTAATAACACAATGGCAGTTCAAAATTACTTTTGATGACCATTGTCTTAATCATTTTTAGCTGCCATTTTCTTTAGGGTTCTTTAGTTGTTCGACTCTGATCTCGTCAATACCTGGAGCTCTATTAGTCTTTAAGCTGGTAATGACTGCAGTTAGCTCGGACATGGTGAATGGTTCTTCCAGGAAGTGATTCTCACTTGCCACATCACGCACAACAGGCTCCGGGTATTTCCTTCCATAGGTTTTGCCATTTAAAAGAAGGTTGGTAGCGACTTGATCGGCAGTATCTGTTATAAAGTTGTCTTTTGGTTTTGTCGCATCTCCATTTATGTTCTTGAGGAACTTCCAGGCCCGTCTGCTGTTCACCTGCATATCTAAACTCTCCACAAGATCACACCACTTAGTTTTGCGATATTCGGCAATGACTTACATAAGGTCTTCACCTGCTAGAAGTGTGTCCTCAGCAAAGGGATCATTGTCAAAGAGACCTTGGTATTGTTCTAGCAGTGGCTTTGCCTCTTCAGAGAGTCCTGCGATGTAATGGGTTCGACAGCCTCTAGGTATCATTTTTCTCGAGACCTGCTGGACAAGCTTAACAAAGGATTCATACATATCAGGTTGTGGAGGGATATTGGCGATTTCTCTATCAATGATCTCCCTAAAACCCGTCCAGTTGGCCTTTTTGAAATTAAACCTGCGCCTTAGAGGAACAACTTCAAGTCTAACCACAGCACTAACGGTGCATACTATAGGTCTGTTTTGAGTTCGGGGAATCGGATCACCTACAGACTTTTCACACTGGGAGGCAATCCTGCTGCTCACAAAGATGTTGTCAGGGTTATAACCCCTCTTCCATCTACCGCTGTTAAAGGAGCAAGGGAGCTTAGGATCGTGTATGAGCTGGAGGTCATTTGCCTCAGTCCAGGTTTCAAGTTTTGTCCCATTTTCACTTGTCTCTTTGTATCCCCAAGCAATGCTCTGACAATTCAAATCCCCCAAGACGAAATTAATGTCATCATAGCATAGATTATCGGGCTCTGTAAATACATACTGAGATTCGGGAGGCTTATACAAAGAGGTGACACTGTACTGTGGTGTCCTGGCCGTTAGTATCTCAGTATTGTTCCTCTCAGTAAGCGAAGCTGAGGTGATGTCAATGTATGGCCTGGCAAAAACAGCACTACCATATTGATCATGAGGTCTCTCTAGAATCAGTCTCATTCCCTCTATGTTCAATGTTCTATGTTCTATGTGGGTCAAGGTTTTAAAATGCCCCGGAGTGTTTCTTGCACAAGGAGGAAGTCGTATTCGTACTACTAGTCTTGCACATATCAGACAGTAATACTTCTTTGTCTCTCGATATTCCCTCGATATTAATCGAGATCGTTACTAATGGCCTTGAAAAAGACCGTTTATATAGGTAGATTCATTTTTCGAAGTCTTCCGGTTGTAGAAGGATTTGCCGCTGAGATGTCAGCGTTGCCCGGGGTGCGCCAGATTGTGATGTCGTTCTTAGCGTGTAATGGTCACAATCTTCGGGGAGGCTCTTTCTGTGCACCCCAATCAGCTGGTTATACTCAAATTGAATTTAATGGAGATATAAGGATTTATTACATTTGTTGAAAAGATAAAAACTTACTCAGTCTCTATGTGGTTTAAAAATTAGTGTTTCACTGCAAAACGTGTTTATGAAAGGTTCAATGAATTTAAAAGTCAACTTACTGTACAGCAGTTACACTATTAGTTGTTTGTTGTGATTTGTAAGACCGTTGTTTTACTGAAACTAAGTAACAGGATATATCATTTAATGAGTGAACGATATCAAAATCGAAGGAACAATATTTTTTATCCAGTTTTATCTATTGTAAGGGATGCAACTGCATTCTTCTGTAAGATTATTTGTGTTAGGTGCTCAAGTAACGATCAGACGTTATTGATAGGTAGTTTAAAACATGTTCTTCATCTCCCAAAAGAATATTTGATTATATTTGGAAGGTAGGATTGGGCGGGTCCCAAAATCTCTGGAAAACACTATTGTGTTAATCAGGGATCTTGATATGTCTCAGGCTTGATTTCGATTATGTCAAGAGCAATTGATTGTTTTTAACATTTTGTTGTGGTTAACCAAATTGAAATGAATTTACCAATTTAAAAATAATTGCTGTTCAGAAATTTTAAACAGAAATGTGCTTAATCTAATGATTGAGTGAGAGTTTGGAAAATTTTTCAGGGAAATTGAACAACAGATAAATAAAAACCCACCCATCGTGTATTGCAAACATATTCATTCTCCCATTTCTTTAACCAAGAGTGCTGCCCCCAGAGCCGGCCTTAGGGTAAAAACATAGTGGAGCGGCGGGGGCTAGAGTGAAGTGGAGAACATAGCTGAGAGCTTTTTTTACCCCCATGGTAGTGGAGCTGCACATGCACATAGTGCAGTGGAGATGGTAGCGAGTCAAGAGGCTAAAGTAAAGTACTTTTGTATATACCGTACTTTAAAACTGATTTATCTATCATGAGGGTAAATTTACTGATTTTGTAAATAAATAACAAATAAATAAATGAATGGTGAAAATAGTAAAACTCAGCAAAGTGTCCATTTATTGACAACTGCTTTCACATTTAAAGTAGTAAAAATTTTAAAATATATTTAGAAGCTTCTAATCATTGTTAAAAAAGTATAAAAAATCTTCTTAGTGGATAAATTGTATGTTATTTAAATATGTCACTTATATGGAAAAACTGTACCTTTTTACAAGAATAATTCAACAATATTTTTTCATGCATTTTAATAAAATTATTCCTTGTCCCAAACAGGATGGTGTTCAAAAACTGGCGAAATAAAGCCTCTTTTGTCGATTTAAAGAAATCAGGGTAGGATTTCGGAGAAGAGAGGCTAGCGTGTTGGCGCGGATATCCACACTCCACTATGTTTCGGTGCACCTAAGTACATGTATGATCTAAAACCCGCTTAGCTACACTCTAGCCTCGCCACTCCACTATGTTTTCACACATAGGCATGTGCAACAGGTGTGGGAGGGGTGCAAAAAAAAAAGAAAAACTTTTAAGGTCCATTGAACTTTACGTCAATCATGACAGTTATTAGTGCCAGATCTATCACTAGGCTAGACGTGTTTATCATCGTGGGTGGTGATGATGATGTCCTTGTGGTGACATCGCAGGTGATGATAACAATGTCAAATTAGTAGGAGATATTCATGACTCTTACGTATAACGATGACAATGTCCCTGTGATGGCGGGAGATGTTTAGGATTTTGTTGCAATTGCAGGTGACGACGATGATGGCTGAGATGTTCACAATGTCATGATCGTGGGGGGTTGGCCCACTCAACTGATTGGGCTAAGGGCAGAAAGTACCCTAATTGTATTATCATTATGCTTAGTGGCCCAGGATCACTTATAGAATAAAATGGTTTATATTACCTGTCCGTCAGTGATCCTATTGTTGTCGTCTTAGGCGACCGGTTTCAGGATAAAAATCCCATCATCAGGCTGTCAAAAATGTCATGTCACTCAAATTGAGGTCGTCGGTAAACATATAAACACACACATACAACACGAAACACGAAAATACGGATTGACATTGCTAGCTACTGGCCAGTACAGGACACTACGACGCGGCACGGGTGGTTGCGTGGTCATGACTGAGGTGTCCTTGCTCCTCTCCCGTTATCTATGGAATGCCGGTGGTATTGTTGTCCTATTCTAATCGCTGCGTCATAGATAATGTTGGATTTGAAAGAAGTCTGTTCATTTAAAATGTGTTGTGGCTCGGTCTTGATGGATTTGTATATCTCGAATTCCTCTAAACAATCTAAAAACCGTCCTTTTTTAGGGTAACTATGTAAAATGTGTAGGTTATGGTCAAGGCTAGAATAATTATGGTTACTGTCTGCGAGGTGGTTGGCGAAAGCGGATTTTTGCTGGGCTATTGTTTTGGATGGAATGTGCTCTTTAAATCGTTGCTTAAATGAGCGAGTAGTCTGGCCTATATAATATTTAGGGCAATCATTACAATTGATCTTATATACTCCAGTCTTATTGGCTTTATCAAGACTGTTCCTTTTACGCTCTTTGAATATGGAGTTAAGTCTATTGTTGGCCCTGAATGATACACATATCCGAAACTATTGATTTGCTTAATGAAAATCTGAGAACCAACTCCAAACTTTCAGAACAAGCTGTGAATGAACTGGTGAACCTAACCAGAACGGTCCTTAAACAAAACTATTTTCATTTCAATGGCGATTACTACATTCAGCATGATGGTCTAGCAATGGGATCCCCCCTATCTGGGATTTTAGCGGAAATATTCTTAAACAAGTTTGAAAATGAACACATCCTTTCTGATAAAAATCGTTACAGCAAAAACATAATATTTTTCCATAGATATGTTGACGATATTTTGCTACTGTTTAATGGTAACAACAGGCAACTCAACCTGATGACCAATTCCCTGAATAAAATCCATAAGAACGTCACTTTCACGCTTGAAACTGAATGTAACAATTCCATCAACTTCCTAGATCTAAAGATTGATAAATGTGAATCCAGGTTAAAGTTTGCCATTTACAGAAAACCTACCGCCACCGACCAGACCATTCATTTTACTTCTCACCACCCTCACAACCAAAAAATGGCTGCCTACAATAGTTTCGTGCACAGGTTATTGTCTCTGCCTCTAAGCCCAACTGATTATCAACAAGAAGTCCTCATCATCAAACACACAGCTGTGGCTAACGGATACAAAAGCAGTATGATTGATAAACTAATACATAAGCATAAAAACAAACCACTCACCAGACCCCAACCACCTGATAAACCTCGTGAATTGTACGCCTCTGCTAATTATGGCAATATTCTTAACAACACCATAAAGAAAGAACTAGCAAAAAATGACGTCTGTGTATCATTCAGGGCCAACAATAGACTTAACTCCATATTCAAAGAGCGTAAAAGGAACAGTCTTGATAAAGCCAATAAGACTGGAGTATATAAGATCAATTGTAATGATTGCCCTAAATATTATATAGGCCAGACTACTCGCTCATTTAAGCAACGATTTAAAGAGCACATTCCATCCAAAACAATAGCCCAGCAAAAATCCGCTTTCGCCAACCACCTCGCAGACAGTAACCATAATTATTCTAGCCTTGACCATAACCTACACATTTTACATAGTTACCCTAAAAAAGGACGGTTTTTAGATTGTTTAGAGGAATTCGAGATATACAAATCCATCAAGACCGAGCCACAACACATTTTAAATGAACAGACTTCTTTCAAATCCAACATTATCTATGACGCAGCGATTAGAATAGGACAACAATACCACCGGCATTCCATAGATAACGGGAGAGGAGCAAGGACACCTCAGTCATGACCACGCAACCACCCGTGCCGCGTCGTAGTGTCCTGTACTGGCCAGTAGCTAGCAATGTCAATCCGTATTTTCGTGTTTCGTGTTGTATGTGTGTGTTTATATGTTTACCGACGACCTCAATTTGAGTGACATGACATTTTTGACAGCCTGATGATGGGATTTTTATCCTGAAACCGGTCGCCTAAGACGACAACAATAGGATCACTGACGGACAGGTAATATAAACCATTTTACCCTAATTGTAGCACTGTCAATAATTTTGAAAAATATAAAAAAGGGGAGTGTAAATACTAATATTATACATTGAGATTTTTGTTTTGGTTAGTGTTGTTGAGCTACAACTCTTAGCATGAGCCCCACTCTGAATATTTACACTGGGCCCCATATTGCTCAAGACCGGATCTGGCTGCCACAGCAGTGTGATTAAAAAGAAAACATTTTATTGTATCCTTTGCTACAATTTTATTGATCAAGGAAATTCACTAAATAAAAACAAAGTAAAAACTAAGCATATATTTCCTTGAACATAAAGCTTAGAAATACATAATATTTATACATTGATAGCAACAATACACTTAAGTATTTAAGTACTTATTAATTAAGTAAAAGACTTTGAAAGCAAAATTTAGAAACAAAGTACTGTACCTTGTATCTAACCTAAACTAGGCTACATTGAAATCAGAAAGTAATATTTACATTTATACAGCTTATGGAATGATTGTTTTACAAAAGCGAGGGGGTTCACATAAAACTAGAGCTAAGAGGTTAGGTTGGATAAAATATACAAAAACGAGAAAAAGAGTGTATGTACATTGTATTAATTGGCCATTAAAAATTTCTCTGTTATTTAAACTAAAAATATACCCTACAAGCTCTATATTTCCCCAGGTAATGAATAAAATTAACATTATCTTACACTAAAATTATCTTACGTTTATAACTTTTGTACTCTGGATAATTTTATGATCTATACAAAATATAGTTGCATGTTCTAAAAAGTATAAAAGTGTGTTTCATATTCAAAATGACCTATAAAAATAGTTTGGAACAACAGTTCCAAACAATAGTTTTGGTCAACAGTTAATTGTTTTCAAACAACACTGTAACTGTATTTATTTTCAATAGGCCTATTTATTTGGTGATTTTTAAAATTCTCTGCAAGGAGAGATATTTCTTTAATTTGTAACTACTCTACCACCAACCACTAAGAAAAATAGTTAAGAGGCTTATGATAAACAAATTGTGATTTAAAAAAATTTTTCCTACAGTCACCCGACAAAGTTGGCTTCCCTGTACTGTTTATAGTACAGAAAGCTGCTAATTGCTGCATATTTATACTTTGCCGTACGGTTTATACTTTGCCGCACGGTTTATACTTTGCCGCACATCAGGATTCCAACCAAACAACACAAAACAGCGTGGTTTTATTATGCACGTAATCCGTGTACGCTTGGAAATAGGTTGGCAACACTTAAAGATAATAATACTATGAACAGCTGATTGACTATTATAACTACGATTTAACCTGTCATTTCGTGTTTATAGTTTTGGTATTTCTGAACTTTCTGGACTTTTCTTTTAAACGTTTTTAAAACATTCCTACGGTCTTAATAAACAAGAAAATACCTTTAAAGCATTTTTTTTAGGCGCGGAAACCACTTCAAATTACAAAAAACATACGGAACTATATTCTCAAAAGACGGAGCACATTTCTTGCCGAGGAAAAATAGCGGAGTGATACGGACCACGGGTACTACTTTCTCCAGGGCACCATTTGTGTAATTGTGTTGCTAGCTGAACCTAAAAACGTGTTGTATAGTGTTTGAAAGACTAATTATTTATGTTTTATAGTGACTGTAGGAAAAATATAATGTGTAACACGAGTGAAAAAGGCCTTTGCTGCACTCGAGATCATTCCGCACTCGCCTGCGGCTCGTGCGTAAACATTGCTCTCGTGTGCAGCAAAGTGCCACTTTCACCACTAGTTACACAAATAACTATTGTTTATAATTATTTCTTTAGAATGTATCGAAGTGTAATGCATGATGTATTTCTTATTATGTAAAATTACCAACAAAACAGCCAAATTGAATTTTTCTTTACAAACTTAAACCATCAGTTGAATTCAAATAAATAATCATATGGTTACTAGTAATTGTACCATAGGGGTTAATACTTTTAATATTAAACCAGTAGGAGAGGTTACAAAACATAACATTAGTAACAATAACAATAATCTTAAGACTAATATTTCATTAACACAAATAGTAAAGCTGAGTAAAGCAAACATAACTATACAACATTAAAACTTTACAGTTCTAGCAATTAACTATCAGCTACATCTATCAGGGACTAAGCTACTTTACAAGTCAGTTGGTCTACCTCTCATTGTCTTGTTGGTTATTCATATTCTTCCTGATTACTTTCTGCACAATGATCTGTTTCCTCAGCTGATGACCGTCTAGATCATCGGCCCAGGTGATTTCCTCAATGGAGTCACCATCATCCCGTCGCACGGTTTCCAGATGCCTGTGCGGCTGTTCCCGATGACTCTCCGCCATCCTGTGTCCATGGTGTCGGATCTTGTGTTTCTCCGTCTCGTTGGAAGGTCTTGCTAAGAGCTCTCTTTGTGGGGTTTTGGGTGTTTTCTTTTGTTCTGAGACGTCGGCCTTGTGGTAGATGATGGCGTCAGGTCGCTCAGACTCCGGGAACTCGATGGTACAAAGGTCGATCATCGGAAACAGAAGTGTGTCGAGAGGAAGGCTGGCTCCCCACGTATGATTCGTGCTGTTAGAGAGGAATCCAGCTCGGGCAACGAGAAATCCGGGGATTGGTCGGCTTGTAGCTGCGGAAAAACAGGAACATTAAACTATCGATATGTAATAAGATGATCAATAACAATCAAAACAGTATGTGTAAACTGATTATTTGTATTTATGAAATTCATAATTCTAAACAAGTTAAAAAAGTTCAACCCATGATCAAGAGAAATTACATAAAGCTATTCCTCTAATTTTAGGGGAGGTTTTCTACTATTGACTACTTGTTATCTTAATATAGTAAAGTACTGCAGTGGTATCAGTCTAGTGGACAAACAGTGACCAAAATGATAAGATAGTGCAGTCTGGTCCCAACTAGCAGTGTCTTCTTTATTAGCCCTAGACACTACCACTAGCTATTTATTTATGGTTCCTTCCTCATGCAACCACCGCTCATACATTATTTATTTGAGTAAATGCACCTTCAGAGCAAAAATAACTGCTTTATTTGAGTTACCTCATATATACAACTCTAAGTAGAAGGCTACTTTATAGCTTTTGTTCTGCACGAAGTCAAGTGGTTTATTTAGGCCTACAAGGCAATTTATTTTAAAATCCTCTTTCAAGTGAGTCAAACTAAAGTACCTGTATTTTTGTATTGTATAATAATACCTATATTTTGTAGTGTAAAAATGTTTTTACAAAATTCTTGACACACTTATTTGCAAAACTGTGTGTAATCTTCAAAGATATAGCATACTTGTCCCTTAAGAATTTTTCAGAGATTGTAATTACTGGATTGTAATATATTCATCAATTAACCAATTATATTGTTTGTAGAGTATTTGCAATCAACTAGATGTGAAGCAGTAAATGTATTTTTTTTATCCTCCTTTCATGAACTTGAATTATATTAGATTTACCTTTGTTGGTGCACATAAGGTGTATATGGTGACATAAATATCTTACTTACACGAACTCAGGCAATAACAAAGGTAAATCAATAATTATTTTTGTCATCAGAAAACAAGATCGACTTATTCTTGTTTTTAAGAAAATCCATCAAACTCAAAAAAAACATTGCACTAAACAAAGCAAACATGTAATATCGGGCAATCATACTTTAACAACAAATCTCATACTTTTTGGGTAAATTTATCTTTGCAATCATCAACGCCACACCACTTTGGTTAGAGCCTACAGCCATGTTATAGCCCAGTCTCGTATGGGACAGTCGGAAGGGACGCTACTCACATGCCTCTTGTGAACAGTTCATAGGAGCGAAGTATTTGTCAGTTGGTAGCACTGTTCCGTCCTCGTCCTCCACTTCTACTGCCAAGCCAAAGTTACGTCCATTGTCCCTCCATACCTTCACGGCTCCTCGGATGTTCCATTCTGTCCAAGCTTCTCCATAAACTGACAGCATCTGGCTGTCCAATAGCTTCCTCTTCACTGAAATGAGGACATCATGAAAATTGAATATTGTGTTTGGCTCTTAAAAGTGTACAATGTTAATTATTTTTACAAAAATGTTGAAAGAATCTATATTTCAATTTGCTGAGGATTACTTTTGTACTATGAAAATATAACTGGTGACCGTGTAATTTTACAGTGATTATTATTTGACAACCCTCATGTACACACACATACCACACTCACCTCTGTGCTTCTTGAGTGAACGAGTGTACCAGTAGACAGAAACTCTGATCATCTTGTCCTCAGCGAAGGAGGGGAACTGGCGCGATGGAGGGAAGGGAAGGTCAGAGTCTTGAGGAGAATCTTCCTGCTCAGAGGGAGGGCAGGACTCAGGTACCAGAGAGATGTTGCCCTGCAAACATGTGGAGGATTAGACCATGTCAGTGGTCGAAGCTCAGATAAACTTAAAATCTTAATCATCTCTAGACATGAATCAGGATAGTAATGACAAACCAAAAGACAAACAAATTACAGATATCACATCAGACCTATATGTAGCACGCTAGTAGCCTACTACTGGCTGGTAATAGGTACTCATGGAGGAAGGAAAAAACATAGGTATGCTATTCCCGTCATATGATGACATCCCCCAGATTGTAAATAAAAAAATCACCTGATTGTATTGCCATATAAGTACATTTGTTTTGATTTGATTTTTATAGTTTTTATAATTTTTTATAATCTTAGAATAGTTTTCTTTTATCAGGACCTTGAAAATAATGGGTCACTCAATGGATCTTACCGTCTGAAATTTTTTAGTTTCCCCCAAAATCCCCCATCTTGGGGATGTACACCAAGTGGTGGTTTTGCCCAAAAAGTACTTAATAACATGCCATAAAGGTGTGCAGAGTTTAGTTTTTCTAGTGTGAGCCGTTACAAAATTTACAGGGGGTCTCCAGACTTGGAAAGTTGTAAGTTAAATTTCACTTTTGATAATTTCAATTGGCTGCCATTTTTTTACAGGATTAACATAAAGACCTCTAGTTTGTGTTGTTGGTTTTCTTTTACCAGGATCTTCAAAATGAGGAATCACTCAATGGGTCTTACAATTTGAAATTTTTGAAAAAAGTGAATCGATCCCAGGTTCAGGTCTTACCATGAGTACTACGGTAATAGCATTGACTATTGGATACATAAGAAGACATCCCATCCATATGGATCAGCTGTCACCAATTTTTTACTAAAAAAGAATGTAGTTGTGTGAGCCAGTCACAGATTGCGCTAGTGCTTAAAATTATATTTTGTACCTTATTTTTTTGTTAAACTGACATAGTTGCTGGGTCACAACAGTTGCTATAGCTCATAATACGTCATTCCATCAGTTTGACTTGGTAAAAACCATCATGTAATCGCCAGAAATCAGTCATTTAGATCAGCGCAATCTGTAGGTGGCTCACACCAACCAAGACAAATTTTATTAAAAACCTGGCTACAACTTTAACATGGGGATGGAATGTCTAGTAATAGCTAACTCCCATATGGGAAATTCGCTAAAACTATCTCAAACCTTATTTTCCTCAACAATTGACTGAGCCGGACACGACTTACAATGTTTTTGGCATATTAAAAGGCAACTATACTAACTTATTTAAATTCAACCGCTTTAGAGGATGAGCAAGTCTACCAAATCTTTTGAACATGATGAGACCAGACCCAGGATCTATTTCCAACCCACAAAATACATTTTACTGAATAACCACTCTCAACTAAAATGTACTTTTCTCTTTGTATCTGACCTGTGATAGCTTGTAAAGCCTCAGTTTGGCTGCCACTATGTTGACCTGAGTGCCTTGCATGGGCGACGGCGACGGGTACGATAGGTCGAACAACAGGTTCATGATGCGGTTGTCATTCCATAACTCTGCGTCCGTGTTGCGTGGAATCTCGCCTGCAAAACAAACATCACCTGTGAAGTCATTGTTTAACTATTCTGCAAAGGAAAAGATGGACAAGTAACACAGTTCACTGCTTGAAGTTCTTGTTTGATGAAGGTGACTAAAGCACAATGTTTTAATTTTCCAGAGTTAGAGAAAACTTTGCTTCTAAATAATGTTGATGGAAAATGTTTTCTTTAGTAACAAGTAACACTGCTTGGTAAAAATAAAAATAGTGTTTATTGTCAGTAAAAGAAATCACGAAAGGTGTGATAACTGTCTATCAGGTTAGACTTGCTTAGTCAGAAAACAGAGGGACAGTAGACCGTAATATATGCTAAAGAGAATTTTCTAATGGATATTGTATTTGCAAAAGTTCAAATTGGACACACCTCAAAAAGATATTGGTCCAAAACATGGTAAACATGTAAGCAACAAATCTAAAGTAAAACACAATTTTCTGTTGTGGTTGTATGACCATGAAGATTGTCATAGGTATATGAAAATGGTCATAGCCTATATGAAGAATTTTTATCCACCCCAAATTAAAAGTTAAACATTATGAAGACTCATAAAGCTAAATACTTTCATCTACGCAAAAGACAAAAGGTAACTTAAACCATTTTATATTAAATATTTCATGCTTTTAATTAGATCAATTGAACTATAAAAATAAAAAGTAAATTAACTAGGTGTTTAATTGTATTGAGGATAAATTCATACAAAATATCTGAACACAACTATTGAAACATGTTTATATGTTCACAATGAAAGGTAAACATTGAATTCATTACAATATCAGAATTTGAAGTGTCATAATGTAAATTTGCTAGTTTCCTACTTTGTAAATAATTTAACACACACATTATCAAGAGTTATTAGTCTCCGGATTATGTTTGAATATCCATAATAGTTTAAGTACCTGCATTCAGTAATGTAACTGCTGCTTTTGGCAATATAGTTTCGGTTCAGCTAGGAACCATCTTCAGGCCGTACAAGGTGTCGTTATTTACCTCCGTATAAAAAGGTCGTTGTTTAAGTTATAATAAAAGTATACATATAGAACACACACAAACACGCACATTAATAGACAAACATTTCGACAATCAATGTTCGTCAGACATAAATGATCGTTTATGAATGTGTGTGTTCTACCTACTTTTATTGACCTTCATACACGGAGGTAAATAACGATACCTTGTACGACCTGAAGATGGTTCCTAGCTGAACCGAAACTATAGTTAGCACAAGCAACAGTTACATTACTGAATGCAGGTACCTACTTAAACCATTATAAAAAATACACATAAAGTTACAGAATTTAATCAAGACAACTTTGCTTAAATATAACTTAAAATATGGGTACTGATATTTACTCCCATGTTTCAACCCAAATCCATTCTACTGTATTGAAAATATAACAGTGATCACTCAATTGCAAATCCAACTCCTAATGTAAATCTATTGTCTCGATGATTCAAACTTCCACTTAATCTAAGTGTGACCGGCAAAGGCACTAGTCTCCTTTCTAGAACTGCTGAAGAAATCCAGTTGGTGTCAAAACTTGCTCTTAACTGTAGGTTGATTTTGGGCAGGTCAGCATGGTAACCGATTGCTGCCACTGATTGTTGCATTAACAAGTCAGTCTGCACCTTAACCCCGACACGTAGTTGATCACTAGCCTTCTGTGAGTAGCACATTGTGAGGCCATTTGTACCGAGAGTTCCACTGCATATGTAGTCAGCTCCTATGTACTTCGCAGACAGAGAGAACAGCGCTAGTTGTCCCCCAGGTATTTGTCTCATCCTTTGAATTTGTAATTCTGATCCCACAGCTAAGCTAGGAGTGATTTTCTGAAGAAACTGACCCGTGAGTAAAACTGAAATGCCGCTCAACGGTTTAAGATTGACTACTTGAATCAAGGAAGTCCAATTGTCGGCTTTGTATTCAACCTGTGTATTAGCAACAGAGAACTTTGTTTGAAACATCTGTGCATCAAATCTAAACTTTACTCTACTCCCAAACTGATGGAGAACAAGGGCATTTTGCACTCCGCTTGGGTCAATCTCCGCCATCAATAAAGGATATGCTTCTCCAGGAGCTACCACATTTGGACCTGCATATGTTGCACCTAAACGGTATGATCCAGGTTTTTGTGAGTAGAGATTGATTTTATGCGAAATTAGGAAATTATTGCTGAAAGGCATGTTTTGTGTAAACCGAGCACCATCAAACACATTTGGGAAGATGTCTTCAGTCTCCTTATGTAAGTTTTGCAATGATCCAGGATTACCTAGTTTCTCTTCTGGAGATGGATCAGAAGGGATAGTAATGGTTCCAAAGTCTTGAGGAGGTGTGCTAGCAGCAAAAATGTTACCCATTGCAAACAATTTTGTGCACAAATACAGCTCAGATCACAAAAATTAAAAACTCATTTCAATATCGAAAACTTGAGATTAATTTGCTTACATTTAGGTTACAAATTCAGATGATATCAACATTCCCAAATAAATAAATAAACATAAAATGTCAGCTGTTAAATACACAACAGTAAAGTGTTACTAAAGCAAAACACATCATTCATTGAAGGTTTATCCATAGACTAAAGGGAGATATTGTACAAACAGAATCTTAAATCCTGTAAAATATGAACATAGATAAAACCACAGACTAACCAACACAAGTAGACTTCTCATCCCATTGTAAATTTTGAAGCACGTTTTTCGTGTCTTGTTCATGTAAGCGACACTGGGCGCTAGTGTCGACGAAATTTTGTTTCTATTATTTTAGGGTTAATTTCTTGATTTGTGATTAACTGTTTGGTTATACAACTAGTGGACAAGTTATTGTTTATGATTAGATTGTAATATTTGGTTAAACCTTGTTTTAAAAGAGTGTAATAAGGGGAAACAAATTGTAAACAAAACACGACCTCTACATATACCGTACAGGACTAACAATAAAATTGTCTTCAGCTGTTCCATAAGGATGAGAAATCTACTAAGGGAGTATGTTTTATCTATGATTTCTCATACTTATGGAACAGCTGAAGACAATTTTATTGTTAGTTCTGTACGGTTTTCTGTAGAGGTCGTGTTTTGTTTACGATTTGTTTCCCGTTATTACAGCCATTTAAAACCTCGTTTAACCAAATAATACGATCTAATCATAAACAATAACCTGTCCCCTAGTTATATAACCAAACAGTAAAGCACAAATCAAGAAATTAACCCTAAAATAATAGAAACAAAGTTTCGTTGACACTAGCGCCCATGTGTCACGTACATGAACTAGACACGAAAAACGTGCTTCAAAATTTACAATGGGATGAGAAGTCTACTTGTGTTGGTTAGTCTATGATACAACTATAGACTCCATCTTCCATCTCCATCCCCATATTAAAGTTGTTGCCAGATTTTATCAAAACCATTGTACTGTAGTTTATGTGAGCCCCCAAAAGATTGTTCTGGGGTATAAATTACTTATTTCTGACAAATGTGCAAACATTTTTAACTGATGGAAAGTATTATTGTGAGTCAAAGCAACTATTATGACCCACCAACTGTGGCAGCAACAATTAATAGCAATAAAGGTCAAAAATCTAATTTTATATATTATTGCATTTTGTGACTGGCTCACACAACTATGTTCTTTTATGATTAAAAATTGTCAACAGCTGATCCATATAGCTAGAATGTCTACTTCAGTATCCATAATAGACTATGATATGTGAATGTGCTAAAAACAATTATCTCTCCTATTTAAGGTTGGATTTAATAACATGTGATTGATACTAGCTAATTCAAAGGACTAGTGGGTTGTAGGGGAAAAGCGCCTATTTTGAGCCAATTGAACACTATAAATTCCTTAAACTGTAATGTAAAATGACAGAAGTTAGTTGAACAAATATTTTATAATGATTACTTTACTACAGTAGAACCTCGTGGAACACAGAATCATTGTGAAAAATCCAACATTGTTTCTTCCTTGCACATTCGGATAATGACTACTTAAGATATAACATAAATCTTCATTGTGATTGTGACGCTTTCAACAAAACTTATTTCTAGACTTTGATGTTGACTCCTACATTTATCTAACAACTGTCACAAATGGTTCCCACACTCCGCACGTCCTGCCTTTACTACTTCCTTCACCTCTCCCTAGTTGTGGACCTGTTTCCCTCTCTTCCCATAGCATTTTAGTATTGCTGACACATTATTCTAACTGCCACAAATGATTCCCAAACTCCGGACTGCTCGTTTTTACTACTTCCTTCATCACTTCCTATGACGTGGACCTGTTTCCCTCCCTTCTCATAGCATTCATTAATGCATGTGTATCTAATTGCCTCATAAGATATTGCCTTTTTGAACTGTCGTAATTATCCTATTCCTGAGTTGTACACCCCAAGTGTAGTGTATTAAAATCAATACTCAGTATTTGTAGGAATGTCCTTTTCTTTTGTACTGTATTTAATAATTTGCTTCTGTACTGTAGATGACTTGTTTCAAGCATTATGTTACAATTCATATATTTACATTTTAGTAAAATATGTGTTATGGATACTTGACAGTCCATAAGACTAATGTGAAAAATAATTAAATTTCATTTTATGTTTTAAACGAAAAACATTTTGGAGGAAATCGTAGGACCCGTTTTTTGAAATCAATGTGCGCAAACGTTATTCATATTATACTGTAGTATCAGATATTTATTTAAAGGGCAAACTAAAGATAATTCATTTTACCAAGTCATCAATGCCATGCAGCAGCTCTGAAAATTGTAAAATCATTTTTAGACCACTTATAAGTGAAAGCAGAATTTATCTAAATTATTAATTATTTGTTGATTAGTAAACAATCTTAACGCACTCTATCAACAGAATTACACGTATAATAAAAATGGTGAACTGTTTAATGTAAACAAAGCAGACATTTTCCAATTCCAATGCATTTTAAACAAAATATATTTTTGTCATGTCTTATTGTCTGCTAGATTTTAACATAATTTGCAATTTTTCCCGATGCCCTAGGACCCATCGAGGACCATTTTTTCGAGCTCTCTCCCATCATCCTGCAAGCGGTCAAACTCTCACAATTTTTATAAAAAAATAGCTTACAGAATTAATAACTTAGATGATAAATCTATGAGGTATACATATACAGGGTGTCCCGGAACTCTCTACCAATATTTTAGGGCATTGTTCCTGGGTAAGAAACATATCTAAATATCATATTTAAATTGTCCGGAAGTCCTTAGTTACTCAGATAGCCGCCATTTTGTTTTTTTCACTTATTAATTTTTTTCTGAAAATTGGTTAAACATACGAAGTTGAAACTTTGCACAAACATTTATGACAACTAGACAAAGCTACAAAAAAAATTATGACGATTTTTCAAATTCATAAAACAAAATGGCGGCTGTTTAAAATTTAGTTTCTTAAATTACTCGAAAACTGTTGATGTTACAAAAATTTTACAAGATTAACTTTTTTAAGGCAATTTTATTACAAATCGATCGACACCTTAATCTTTAAGATCGGACAAGTATTAACTGAGATATGGCAGTTTTAGTGATACGTGACCGCCGGATATTAGTTGCAGCGCATGCTGAAAGCGGTCACGTATCACTAAAACTGCCATATCTCAGTTAATACTCGTCCGATCTTAAAGATTAAGGTGTCGATCGATTTGTAATAAAATTGCCTTAAAAAAGTTAATCTTGTAAAATTTTTGTAACATCAACAGTTTTCGAGTAATTTAAGAAACAAAATTTTAAACAGCCGCCATTTTGTTTTATGAATTTGAAAAATGGTCATAATTTTTTTGTAGCTTTGTCTAGTTGTCATAAATGTTTGTGCTTTGTGTAAAGTTTCAACTTCGTATGTTTAACCAATCTTCAGAAAAAAATTAATAAGTGAAAAAAAACAAAATGGCGGCTATCTGAGTAAATAAGGACTTCCGGACAATTTAAATATGATATTTAGATATGTTTCTTACCCAGGAACAATGCCCTAAAATATTGGTAGAGAGTTCCGGGACACCCTGTATGTATGTTTTAAAATATTAAATATTCGCTCTGTTACAAATTTACTATCATAATCCCAATGAATCACCTAGAGACACCTTCAAGGTTAGTTTTGTCTGGCATTTGTAGAGTTTCTTGTTTTTTCTTGGTATTTAATCAACGTTTATCTATAAAATGAGTATAACAATCTAATATAAAAATTGTCTTTCAGATAAGTACTAAAAAGCCAATTAGTAAAGAAAATATCCTACAATTTACCTTGAATTATGAGAGAAACAAATAAGTCCACATCAGCTTGCTTTTCAACCAAATGAAAGGCTCTTAAAAACAGGATTAATATTTGAAAGTCTCCTTTAACTATTAAAAGTCATTACTGTCATGAACCATTCCAAAGAGTATGAGAAGTGGACACAACTGGGCGTACTTAGCCAAAATATAAGTGTAGAATGAAGTGAGATGATCTGTGTAAGATCAGCTGTTTACTTACATGAAGGGTAAAAGCTCTGGATCTTCTCAGTGTAGACATCTCCAGGAGTGAAGGGGTTCTTCAGCGGCCTCATCTTGTCAGCAATGGCCCTCAGCAGATCTTGCTGATGTAGTCGAGGCTGCTGAGGCATCGTAATGTTGCTGCTGAAGGAAGGAGGAGTACCCTCAGGCCACAAGATGTTCATTATCTGGTTCTTGATGTTCGCCAGCCTCATTTCTTTTAGTCTGAAAATTATTCACTGTCAATATATTTCGTACTATTTTAGTATTTCAGTAACCTTTCTTGTTAGTGTAGACATGCAGTTTTCATGTGATGCGCATGGGTGAAAGAGATACATCCACCATGTCTCCACCTACAAGGGTTAGATATTTTTGTCTTCCTTGAACCTTCAGAAAACCTTAAACCTCTTGTGCCTCTAGGCTTGGACCCATTTATTGAATCGGCCCTGAATGATATAATCATTTTTGGTCAATTATCGTCAACTTATAAATCAGATAAGTACAACTAAGAATACCATTGACAATTGGATTATTAATAGTCAAAGATAATACTAAACTTTAATCTATTGAAACAACTTAAGTCAAATTTTATTGTTATTTGATCAGTCAGAAAGTGTATGTCTATCAGAAATTAACTGAGGGGCTATTCTAATCAATTTCTCCCACTCTCCCATTATATAAGAAATTTATGTAAACTCAACCACATATTGTACTTATATGAAAAGCTAAAAATCCTCGTATGGTAAATAGGCTCCTCCCTCAACTGCAAACTTACGAAGTCCCGACTAAATCCCTAATGGCTACCGGTACTTCTATTCTAATAGTTTTGCTTTGAATATGGCTATAGAAATGCTGGTATACATTCTGTTGCTACATTTGTGTCAGTTATGGTGAATAAGTAAGATACAATGAGCCACAACAATATAATAATACAATCATCGTTGGCCCCTTAGCCTTGACTAATATCAATCAAGAGCTGTATCAAGTAAGATTGGCAAGTAATTGTAGGTACTCGTATTGAAGAATTGGTTATTTTGGGTGTTATTATAGCATAGCATATTTCAGTGTGAACTGACTTTTAAGTGGCTTTGAACCAGCTACTTTCTGGGCGTATTGTTGGACAGATAAAGTTTAGTTTACTGGTAAATAGTTATGACATAAATATTGAAAAGCACAACATCCACTTAAAACGTTAATAAAACACATTTCTACTAAAGTTATAATTTTTCAAACCAAAACCGTATAAAATTCATCACACCATTAAAACAACAGCAAATAATAATCAGGCAAACAATACAAGTCATTGAGAACAAATTGTTACTTAATAAATTAAGTTAGTTGTTAGTTGTGTGTAATCAAAGTATATTGTATCAATCTTTTCCTCTAGATTTATATTAGTTTTTAACAATTTGTTACGTATAACCTTACAATGAGGCAGGGCTACAGATATACACCCAATGAGGTCTCTTGACTAACATGACGCCTTCAGATGAATGACACTATTTACAATACATTAAAGCGTTGAGAGCCTACAGCACAGTTTGAAGGAGTCAAACAATTAATTAAAATACTGTAACCAGATCGACACATCATTATCACACTAAGAAATAAACCACAAATCAATCAAATGTATACAAAGATTTTACATGTTTTATATTTTTCAAAACGTAATTATAGTTTTGCAGCTTGAACACTTTTTATCAGTGTACAAATTAACATAATAACTTAATTCAGTATGATTATGATTAGTGTAGTTTTCGAGTTTTATTAGAGTGTTAGAAAAGTTTATTTTGTTGGCAAAACCCCCCTGTCGATCAATTAGCCAATCTATTAGCGAATTTCCCATATAGGGAATAAGCTATTACCGTAGTACTCATGGTAAGACCTGGACCCGGGACCGATTTTTTTTTTTCGTTTTGAGGTCCCTAGAGGCCAAAAACACCATCCGTTCAAATTCATATATATATATATATATATATATATATGTCCGTTAGCGCAATAACTCGAGCAAAAATGATCTGATTTTGATGAAATTTGGTACAAACATGTAAACCTACGTTTATTCGAACGAGTTCGCGAACCAGCATGATCGGACCATGGGAACAGGGGTTTATGGGGGCTTTTATGGGGTAAAAATGGATTTTTCCCATTTTTGACCCAAAAAACATAAAATTTTGCAATTTCTTTCCAAAATATTTTTTAGAGCTTAAAAAAACAAATAATTTAGTATATTGAAGCGTTATAATGCGCCTAATGGTTACGGAGAAAATTCCAAAAAATTGTAAATTTAAAATTCTCATGTTATTCTTATGGAGAATAAGTAAACTGTTGTAGTTTGGTTGTTTATTAACATGTTTTGCCCAAATTTGGAAAATGTTTTTATTTCTTACTAACTATTAACATTTTACATAAAAAAGACACTTTTACCCTCCCTGTTGCAGCAAACCTAAGTATGTGTTAAACTGATTCTATTTAAATAGGGAATAAATGTAATATTTTTAAGGAGATATTTTAGTGTAAATCCAATCAGGCAAATGGAAATTCGCTTAGTCTGCAGGTTTGCTGCGGCGGGGGTATTTTATTAAAGACCGACGCACACTGTGCGTATCCTGCTTTACAATTATAATGAAGGGGAAGTGTGTAAAATGAATGGAGTCGGATGACATGCGTATCTTTGTAACTGACCTAAGATCATCTGTTCCTTTAGCGAGTTCCTTTGACTACTGATACAAGTTAATGTCAGTAGCATTATTTATGAAAAGCCCTAGGCTGCTTACCTACAGGCGAAGAAAAAACAAAAAATACTAATCTATTGTGAGTGTCTTAACCATCTAGGAATCTTTGGAATATAAATTTTACTTTGGTTACGTTAAGTAAAAGGAATTGGAACATCGAATATATAGGTACCAGAAAACTCTTAAATTTGATCCATCAGATCCACACATCAACGAAAATACTTTTGACTATCAAATAATTATTGTATTACAGGTTCACCTGCCACTCGACCAATCCATTTTCAAAATTTGTTTACAAAACTAGGAGTGTAGGCCTACCCAATAAATCAATACTTTCCGAGCAATTGACAGAAATAGACAGCTTGAATGGCCATTAAGTATTACGTGATTGTGTTCCCAAAGGTTTATTCTGGTTTGCAGGATGACTGTCCAAATCCAGATTCAGAGTAGAACTAAACTTGACCTAATTTAGCAGACGAGTCTGAGTCAGCTGGACCCAAGCTGTCTGAGTCTAGACAACGTCTGGTGTCTCGCATATCAATGTTGTCTCTGTTGTCTGGCAACTCACGCTTTCAAACTGTCCAAATACTTAGAGGGATTTACGTGAGTAATTTATAAATAAAAACTACTTTTAAAAATATACCACGTTTTTAAACGGACTTAAAAGTAGAACATTATTTATAAATATGTGGGGAGAACAAAAACTTGTAAGATTTAAAACAAAAAACCGTGGGGCGCATGCACTAGGAAATTTACAAATATTTTCACCAATTGAACTATTAATATCTATTGCATGCGCTCACGTTTTTCGTTTTAAATCATACAAGTATATATTCTCCCCACATATTTATAAATTATTTTCTACTTTTTAGTTTGTTTAAACACGTGGTATTTTAAAAAGTCGTTTTTATTCATAAATTATTTTCTACTTTTTAGTCTTTAATGTGTAAACATATTAAATATTTTTGATATAGCCTGTTAATACACAACCAAACCCATTTCAACTGCAATTAGGATGTTGTTACACTATTCTCATAATCCTAAAACTTTTTAATCTCTCGGGAGCAGAACCTGTACCTCTTAACCTCTGCTCTTTGAACAAACTGTCAAATTAAAGTATTTACAGCTGACTTCAATTGATATATTTCCATTCTACCAAAATGTAAACATTGAAAATTTGGAAGCCCATGGGGCGTAGCCCAAGCGATATATGAAAATAAAATTATATTATATTGTATTGTCATACATTTGTGAGCTATGTTTCAAGTTTCGGACATCAGGAAGTTTTGTTAAAATCGATTGCAAACTTTGTACCGAACAGACAAGAAAGCGAGCTGATGGAAACGTTTTAAAAACTCAGTAAACAAATCATCTGGCATTGTCGCTTTGTAACCCCGAGTATTTTTCAGCTGAATTTGAACTTGAATGTTTAGCTGTTTTACTGAGTAAGATCAGCTGTTTCTTCAGGCAGGACCAGTTGCGAACCATCAAAAAGCTACATACATTTTTTTCAGGATCGAACTGGGCCATGTTTCATAAAAGGTGACAAGGGTGACAGGTCAACGGCTTGACACATTTGTCGCATTTCTCTTTAATAAAACTTGTATTGTGACAGGTGAATTTTGACAGATTGTTGAGAAATATTTTGACAATTATGTTTATAAAACTCCACAAAATTAAAATTTATGTTACAATACGATTTTTTGTCAATTTGTCGGAATACAATTGACATAGGGATAGTTTCAGGTTTTAGATCAAAGCAATGAAAAGTATTGTAAGTTATCCTGATTCTCCGTATAAAGAAGTACCTACAGCTTTTATTCTGCTGCAAGTCTAACGTACAAAATGCACGCATCAAATTGGAATCAATTAAAGAAAAACGCTTTTCGTTCTATTTGATTCTACTTTGGAACCCTATAAGTTTTAGATGACACCCACAATACCTAATCTGGCAGATACGGGCTTGGTATTTACAGATTATGTTTATGTGGCATTGAACCCCTTATCTGAAACATTACAATGTCTCATTCCACGTCTATTTTGTCATTCTATGGTGTATTAGTCACTGGGGAATGTTTAAAGCTTTGCTAGCAGGTATGTGGTGCCACTCACTCATTAAAATTTTCAAACCAATTAGGTAAAATATTACAATGACACATTCCATACTACCGTTGTAATCAAGCTGTTAAACCATAACGGTAGACCAGTCACGAGGCAAGTTAAAGTTACAGTCGTAATCTGTTATGCACCGAGTTACTTTAAATTCTTAATGTGGTTTAATACAGGTTACACGACTAAATGCACAATTTCGTGAACAAGATTGAAAAACCATCCGAGTGGTTGTTCTTTCTAATACAACATAATAAGTAAAAACCTATAACTAACTATTGATTAAATGTTATATAAGATCCGTTCTAGATTGACAAAACGTTCTGTGATTTGCGTAGTTTGTTGGTCGTGCTCTTTTTTTTAACTTGTAAAAGTTTTAGTATTCTTATTTATTCTTATATATTCTTATTTATTTTTACATTGATTGGTGGCGTATTAATGAGTTTAATTTGCGTACAGATTTTCCATTGATTGTTGGCGTATTAATGAGTTTAATTTGCGTACAGATTTTTCAAAGCGGTATCCTTTGACATATTTTTTTATTGTAAATAAACATATTTACATATTAAGCAGTAAAAAAACTTAAACTCCGTTTTATGTCTTAATTTTTTATTTTCTTTAGATGATTTGTTTTTATTTTTATATATGGAGCGTTGAGCCAAATAAAATCCGAATAGTTGACTAACGCCTCATTACGTTATCTGACCTATAATGACAAAAAAGTTAAGCGTAAGTTATTTTCAGTACAAAATGGTACCAAAATATGAGTTATAACAATGTCATCTCGGCCTACCTCGACACAGGTACGAACTCCTTGTACTAGTACTAGTTTTAATACTCTTGATTTAGAGTGTTACCATTGCTTAGTTAGTTTGGATATTATTCACACACCATAATTAGAAAGACAACAGCATGCAAAACACTCAAGTCTTAAGTCACAATACACACAAAATCAACACCGAAATGTGCATACCTTTCCTGGCTAACGTTCAGAGAGCTGAAAATTAAAAATCATGAACAAGTTTCATGTCTTAGATGAAATACAAATTGTAACAAACAATACTTCACCGGTGGTAAAATTAACTTATTTCAAAATAGGTTTAAATGTGTGTTGCAATCTCCTTATTCGATAAAAATATTTCCCAGTTTATAATTTATAGTTTATGACTAACGTTCATAACGTTGATTCATAACGTTTTACAAAGGTCCTTGAGATTTTCGCTTTCCTTCATTCTCTATTTTACGTAAGGTAAAAAAGTAAACTACAGTGGATATATTTGAAGGAATAATTAATAACTTACACAATAACTTAGTTTTTAAGACCAGTACGGGACGTAATCCTAATTTACTTTAGTTACACATTTCAGTATCTTGCTGCAAATACTAAATTCATTCTCGAATTCTAGAAATTACCAATACTCCTACAACCAACAAGACTAAATCAAGCTCCAATTATAATAATTAATCATCTAATATTTTTATGTGTTTGATAAACCTTTTCAATCAAACTCTATGGCTTCAATAAAAAGTGACCAAGATTAAATTGAAATTTTATTTCTTGCGTGGATTAAAAATGTTTATACTGAAATTCTCGTAAACTTACGTCTACCATGTATTACATTATTTTATGTACTAAACTAGTTGCTGTGCCCGTGCTTCTCAACGGGAAGAAGGTACTATAACCCCCAATCCAAACACTTGTTAGGTAGTTTTTAATTTATAAACAAAAAGCTACTAAATTTATACAAAAAGTTAACCTACATTGTATTTCTCCTACTTTTTTACATTAAAATATATCAATACCATTATTTTCATAACTTTAACACTTAAGAAATCGGAAACAGAGCCTGAGTTGATACAGCAACGGTTACAGATTTTTTTCCATTATCAATGACATAGTTTTAGAATAAATAAACCTGCCATATTGTGAAAAATATTGTATTTAATTTATTCGGATCAGCTTTCTATAATAAATTATTTAGCAGTTCTGATTGTTTACATAAAAATGTCAACGCAAAGGTAAACATTGTGATTTTTGCTTCCATGGAGACCAATTAATATTTACTTTGAAACCTCACCTCAAAACTTGGACATTGAAGGGGCGTAGCCCGAGAGGAACTCAGGTAAGTGAATAGCCCTATGACATTCCTAGGTGGACCATCTTTGTGCTTAATTTTAGCTTTATCGGTTTAGTATTTTAGTCGTGACAGCTGCCCAGACAGACAGACGCCACCTCAATTTTCTAATATAGGTGTGCTATTTTAAATCTTTTGTTAGAATGTAGACTTCAATATTATTTTCTCATAAAAAAAATCTTCAGAGTTTTTTAGAGAAGTTTCACCCAGCCACACAAGCAGTAATCCCAAAAATAGCAGTTTTCTATTTATTTACACGGATTATGTTTCGGCGAGTTTTATTTCTAGCAAGGTTTGGACAAGAGTAATTTGAGATTTAGTCTTGATCAAGCCCGACTGGAGGATGCAAACACATCATTGGGGTTTTGACCGAAGCAGCAGTTCCAGCGGAAGCTGTGGCTGAAGTGAAGTATTGCGTCTTTTGTGTTTTGGTTCAAAAACCGCCTCGATGGATTTACACGAATTGCCTTTTTATAAGATCACTTTGAGTATGACTATTGAAATCAAATTTACAGTATGCACATATTGAATAAAGGCCTACAGTACCTGCGTTTTTTTGTAAAATACGCTATCTACATAATGATTTAAAAAAAGTATGGGTACACATACATTTTACAAGTATTGTTGTTTAGATTTAAATATTTTGCTTAGTTAACTAACAAGTTTTTACCCAACAAGGGTGTTTTGTTTTATTGTTCGTTGCATGATTGCAGAAGAAAAAAGTAGCAATGTAATGGTTTTTTGGTAAATGAAAAGTTCTATGAATTTTGACCCCCCTATACAAAAAAAATTATCTAACGTGAAAATACAAAAAAAAAAAAAAAAAAAAAAAACGTTAACTACCGTAACTGTTCAGTGAACTGATGAGTATGCGTAAGTATTACAGTAAAGTAACATTAATTTGAATTTTAACTTAAACTGCCAAGTACACACAGATTTGAGTTGTGTGTAGTGTGTATATGTTTTTGTTACATAGCTGTAACTGGTATATGAGTAAGTGTTCCATTTTTTTCCTTTGATGGTTTCAATGATTATCATATTTACAGTTACAGTACGTTTAAAATGTCTTAAACTGTGTTATTTTGTTATTTTATCCATTCCTAAGCCATAAAAGTAGATATATATCATAATATACTAAATATTTGTGTTTTCTTTATTTGAAATGATTTCTTAAATCGAACGTGTGTTTATACGTTTAGTGACATTATAACGATATGTTTTTATGTAACTGTGTAAAATTCTACTAATGGAGTTTTGGAGACTGTCATTTCTTAAAAGCTCGTTCAGTATCTATATTTGAAGGAAAGACAACTTGCAAGTGTTTTGAAAAGGAGTACGGTAATTTATCATTTTTGTAAAACTATTTGCGGGTGATAGTTTTTTTTTTTTCAATTAAATGTAATAATCTTAGATTATGAGTATCTTACTAAGATTTAACAGTAAATTTAATAGTAAAGCCAATGCGTACGGGTTTGTTTGGACTTAAATTTATAACTTATACATAATTTTAAGTTTAACAGTGATGTAACGTACTCTTTCCACCAATGATGAATATGTTTACTCAAGTTCAATTATATATTAGCTCTGTGAACTAATATATACAGGGTGTTTTTTTAAAAAACTTGCATCTTTAATTATATAAAAACCGCAATAGATAGAAATATGCAGTTTGCGGGAATCATCTATTGACGTAGGGGGACCAATTGTTTTGAATTCAACGTTACATTCACATTCCCCCCCTTTCCCCCCTGCCACCAACTTATTTTTTTTAAATAGCAAGGTACCCCTTGTGACATATCAAATAAAAGAGCATAAAAAAACAAAATGTTTGATGAAAAAAAATTGAAAATTGGTTAATAAATTTGTGAGATATTCCCCCCCTCACCCCCCCGGAACTTAATTTTTTTTAAATAGCAAAGTACCCCTTGTGACATATCAAATGAAAGAGCATGAAAAAAGATAATTTTTGGTGAAAAAAAATTTAAAATCGGCTCATGAATTTTTGAGATAATCACCCCCCTTTTCCCCTACCCATAACTTGTTTTTTAATAGCAAGGTACCCGCCCTTGTGACATATCAAATGAAAAATAAATTTCGCCAAAATTTTTCTTTTTTCATGCTCTTTCATTTGATATGTCACAAGGGGTACTTTGCTATAAAAAAAAAATTAAGTTCCGGGGGGGTGAGGGGGGAAATATCTCACAAATTTATGAACCGATTTTCAATATTTTTTCATCAAAAATTTTCTTTTTTCATGCTATTTTATTTGATATGTCACAAGGGGTACCTTGCTATTTAAAAAAATTAAGTTGGGGGCAGGGGGGGAAAGGGGGGGAATGTGAATGTAACGTTGAATTCAAAACAATTGGTCCCCCTACGACAATAGATGATTCCCGCAAACTGCATATTTCTATCTATTGCGGTTTTTACATAAATAAAGATGCAAGTTTTTAATAAAACACCCTGTATATATTAGATAATCTGGCATTACTGTATATTACACGTATGGCACCTTATAATGTGAATGTAGTTTTAATCAGGATTTTCTCAGTGAATCTGGTACTTAATCCTTCTTGGGTGTATACAGATTGCAACCATTACATAACGTATAATAGCTCCAAGATGAATATAAAGTGATGTGTTTAGAATTTTGTATCAAACCAAAAACAGGCTAATTTATTTGTATTACCTAACTCTAATTTGTTTCTTTGGAGAAAAATCAGGAACTCAAGTTGTAAAACCGTTAGGCTGTTAGTTGTATGTATCGATATACATGTCCATCGTTTTGTGAATGGTGAAGTTATACCATATAGATATGTATTAAAGATTTTAATACTATTGACGACGTATATCCATACTCAAATACTCACTATTTTGCATCCTTACAACCATGTTGTATTTTAAAATACTTGGATGCAATCAGTTATGTAAAGAATCACGTTATGAATTAATCGTGAACAAGAGAAATTAATCAGGTTAATTTAATTTCCTAGATCACCGAAAACACTTTACAAAAAATACTTTACATTAATCTTGTAATATTTAAGTTCTTCGATTGAAATTAGTAATATGTATTACAGTGTCTGTAAAAAGTGTTTGCACGAAATTTGACTTATTAAACGCAAATAACATAAACAATACCAATTCCGTGATAGTAGTTTTTAACTTAAATATTGCTAGAAATTGATCATAATATTAACCCAGACACTGCGCCATGTAAGTACTTCCCGTCGCGTCCTATAATCCTTGGTAGCGATTATAGTTACTTCCCCATTGTGAATGTCTGACTGATAACCCACGTCTATGATCAGCTGTTCAAGTCTAGGATACAACGTTAGAACTGCACTATTTCAATGCTAATCATATGGAAGTTTAAAGAAAATGTGTTTTTCAGGGAACTGTATAAAAATGTAACTATACCGTTGTCAAATATCTCAAAGCAAATAAATCCGCGTAATTTTTGGAAATATTTACACCTTGATTGAAAGCTGCGTTCTCACTGTGTGTATTAGATTCTTTCAAAAACTCCTTATAGTAGGGGTCTACTATATTCTTGATTTGATACCGTATACGGCACTATTATTGTATGATATACTTTAAATTAATTAGATTGCTATATACTTGTTGTTTTGATGATTTATTTAACACGTGTTTGATTTTGGATTTACAAACATAAGGGCTTAAAAATAAGACTATTCATTGGGATTAACGAACAAACATTCAATTCCAATTTACAATGCTGATGTATGGTAAAAATTTAAAAATAAAAACACCTTTTTAAAATACCACGTTTTTTAAATGCACTAAAAAGTAGAAAATAATTTATAAATATTTGGAGAGAATAAATACTTGTAAGATTTAAAACGAAAAACGTTGGGAGCATAAAATGGCTAATTTACGAATACCCCCTCTTTATCATGCGCCCAACGTTTTCCATTTTAATCTTACAAGTATTTATTCTCTGCACATATTTATAAATTATTTTCTACTTTCTAGTGCGTTTAAAAACGAAGTATTTTAAAAAAAGTTTTATTTATTTTTAAATTATTTTCTACTTTTTAGTCTTTAATGTGTAAGTATATTAAATCTATTTATATGACTTACTAATACATAACAAACACCTTTTTATCTGTAATCATAATATGTTTTACTTTACTTTGAAAATGTTTGTTTATATTTTTAGTATCTTTCGGGAGCAGAACCTGTACCTCTTATAACCTCTGCTCTTTGAACAAACTGTCAAATTAAGGTATTTACAGCTGACTTCAATTGATATAATCATAGACTAAGCAACACTAGATAAAAAAATAATATACAGACTCTGATGTGATATTCTTAATTATTTAATGAAGTTTATTCGAGTTATTTAGATAAAAATACACGAAGTTCTTTTTCATTCTAGCCCCGGCTAAAACTTCAAGAATGGATTGCCTACCGTTAACAGGAAGTAAATAAGCCTTTAAAAAATTTGAAAAATATAAAAAGTTGAATCGCTTTTAAAAGTACGAAAAAAGTATTTCTAAGAATGTGAAATTTATATCGAAGTTTATTTCATTTGCCAAGATAACATTATATTATAGTTTTTTTTTCCTTTTATTTACCGAGAAAACGATTTAACATGCATTATACTGATACTAAGGTAAAATATATCTTTTTGGAATATCAAGGGAAACTAAATTTAAAATACGGTTTTAACATAAGTATATATGTTTCTATAGTCAGCCTTCTTATATAAAAGTAATACAGCAGTTACAATACAAGAATGTAGGTGACTTACTTCTCTCTGTTGATCTTCTGCAGTTGAGGGTGCAGTGGCTCCTCCACCTCTGAGTTGTTGTAAGGGATGGAGGAGTTTACATTGTCCAGCACCAACAGCTCACCCCTGTAGCCAGCCAACTCCCCTCCATCGTCAACCTGCAGCTCCTGTGGACTGTCCTCTACCACGTCCTCAGCCGGCATGTCACCATGGGGCAGCTCGTCGTCGGGGGCGAGTGCCCGCTCCAGCACCCTAAGGTCGTCCTCTGGCAGTCCCTTCAGCACCTCCATCACCGCTCCCTGGACTCCGCTGCTCTCCCGGAATCTGTGCGAGATCCTCCTCAAAGTCTCCTCCTCGGTACTCGGCTCCCACCTGTGGTCCTGGACCTCTAGTTCCTCGGACACTCTCAGAGCCTGTGGTCTAGACATCCCCGGGGGTACCATCACTCCCGCGATCATCAATACTCCTAGGAGTCCCCACACTCTGGGTTCGTGGTTCTGTCTCGTCGTCATCGCGTCTATGTCTGAAGTGCTCGCGCGCGCCGCAGGTATGTAGAGGGGGGGCGCGCGGGGAGGGAGATTTTTCTGTCTAATCAATTTATGAACCGTAATCGATGTTTGAGAATCACGCGTTTGTTTACCGATTTTTCTGACTAACTGTAGAAATATTTTCGCGTTTGCCAAACGGAATCAGCTCTGGGAATAACCAGCGCCCCGGGTCAGTTTATATAACCCCCACCGCGGGCCAAAAGATTTTTGATTGGACCGCTCGTGTTTTCGGCAGAAACCAGACAGACACATGCATAAAAGATCGCCAGCCTAGACCAGTCGCCAATCAATTATTCTAATAGACGCAGAAGGAATTTTTTAATGAATCGCGTTGTGCTAGACGTCTAGTCTAGACGGGCTGTTCAGACATTCTCCTCACATAGACAAACAGAGCAAAGCGAGCAAGTCTCACTCTTATTGTGGCAGTAAGTGTTTGTACCCTTCAGACCCCCCCCCCCCCCGCCCCCCCTCCTATGTGTCTGCTTTACCTACTCAGGTGTAAACCTTCAAGTCGGTGTTACACAATACTGCACACTGTACATAGGGCATTTCAAATTTAAAAAATATGTAATCAAATTGAGTTACTTAAATGTGTTACCAAAATGTATTCTTGACGATGAAGCAATATTCTAAGCACCCTTTGCATTATTCATGTTTAGTAACATCACTTATTACATACGATTAGTTATGTTTGGGACGTAAACGTATTTATCTATCCATAGTAACATAGCATGAATAGAATAGGCACTAGTAAGAAAGCACTAATAAGGTAACTTTACTATCGTGGACCATTTTTTATTTAGAGCATAAGGCCCACATGTTTCAATATATTTAAAAGAAATCAGTGTCAACTGCTACACATCGTCAATATAAACTCCCTTCAAACTCTAAATTGATGTCCAAGTAGGAGACGGTAACGCAAATTTAAGCCCACCATGAAATGGGTTTGGTAAGAAGCATTGGGTGATTTTGTAACTGCCCACTCATAAAACCAGTGACTTCCTGTGAGGAGGTATTCATCGACAGATATACCGTCTTAAGCTTACGTATCTCATTATTTCACATTTTAAATGGGTCCACTTTTCTCAAAATATAAACCCTTTTTATAGCGAAGGATTTTGGTGTTTAACATTTTGTGGAGGTTTTAGAGTCACAATACTGGCCATTGATTGAAATTTAATTTCATTAATCTGAATAAAATATTACAGTGGCTTGTAGGGACATAAGTCCCTAAAAAGCTCAATAATATAAAACAAATTATTCCAATATTCAAACAAACTAAGAAACATATTTTCGCTGTGTCAGAATAGATATCCCTGTACGCCATATTTGTTGTGTAAAAAACAGTTTGTTGTTTGTCTTTGTTTGCCTTTGATGATGTTATTTTAAATAAATCATTTGAATAAATACATAGCTTTTAACTCTGATAAAGACAGCAAACATATAATTGTTTTTGAATAAATGATGGTTTATTAAGGTAGCTTTGGTCTTGTGGTTGATTGTGATAAAAAAGACCTCCCTGATTGGAACTTTGGAAATTGTCTTCGTCAAATAAGTAAAGGCAATTAAAGGTGTTTTGAGGTAAGCTTAGTTCTTTGCCAAACCCGCTAAATTAGCATCCCTACCCAGTTAATAATTCTAAGTTTATACTTCTTTTGTTAGGGTTTATTAGTGTAAAGTAAAGGCATCCCATTGACCAAACTTAACCCTAGATTTCTTCTGATCAACATAAAACAACTACAATCAGTGAAAGTTTAAGTGGTGGTATTCCTCTTAAAGGTGCGATTGACGTTACATATTCTATCAAATTAGGCCTAATCATTGGCTGATTCTTAACTCTTTTGCGAGCAACAGACAGTACCTGTTTAAAATCTCCAAGCATATTGTTTTTCCTCCCATTCGAACTTGTCATAGTACTTACTTAATTAACAAATATATATTTCCTGTACGAACCTATTCCATCTTTATTTCCAGGTTATTTTCTAAAGCCATTGAGGTTATTCCACTTCATACAAAGTATTGATTAAACACTACAATAAATCTCAAATTTAAAAGAAAGAGAAGTGTAGAATAAATCTAGAACATATGTTTTGAAATAAAAACAAAGCAGAAGTATTCCATTTAATCTTGAATCGTTAATTATTTTGTCAGTGTGGTTATTTAATGTTAAACGTAAAAAATACACAAATTTGAAAAGTTTCACAGTAAAATTATTTATTTCCCCATTCCATAACGTAACTAAAAAGTCTTAATTTTTACAGGTAACGTTAACCCTGGTTTTATATAAGTACGTTGCAGAATTGACTGGCAAATGAGTAATTTAAATTAATGTTATCATTGCTTATACTGGCTTGATGATAAATCACGATCAGCTGTATTGAAGTAAACAAAAATCAGCAGTAAATGGCTTCTAATGTTTTCCTTATGGAGAACATTTCACGTTATATCTCGTTTTATGGTCACTTTATGGGAATTCTGATATTTTTCCCGAGTTCCTGGGGTCAAGACCTTTAATTTAAGACATCTCCCACTTTTCTGCGACCTACCAGACGTCCACAATTTTCTGGTAAAAATTGTGTCTTACAGAATTATATATAAGGATAATTAATTTCCTTTGATCAGCTGTCTAAAATTGTGAAATTAGTAATTTGACAGATCTTCTTGTTTACATTGAAATTTCAAAGAAAATTAAAAAATTGTGAGTGTTCTCATTGCAGCCATGGGGACCAATCAGTATTTACTTTTAAAATCCTCGCCTCAACTTGTAAAGCTTGGGTCAAAGACAACGGTTATTATCAGATTGTGAATGGTCGGATGGTCCTATTACCATTCTTGGTATGGTAGCTATATTTTTTATAAAATTTAAGCCCAGACAACCAAGTTGTTTTTACAATATTAAGTAACACACATACAGACAGACACCTTTAGATTTGTATATACAGTATAATAGAACTATTTGTTGTACACGAAATCGAAACATTTTGATATTTATATATGTTGTATAAAATAGTTACACATCCACCAACGCTTTTAGAAACAAAATTCAACCTTTATAGAAACGTTTATGGCTTTTAAATCTGGTAAGTAGTGGAAACCACCATTTTGGTTTTAATTAATTTTAAATCTTGTCTAGGCCGATATGAGATATACTTAGAACATTTTCGAATAACATTTTCACATACATGATTTACCTTCAACTCCCTCATTTACGAATTCTTCTTTATTTTTGACAGTTTAAAGGTGCGTCCCCACTTGACAAACAATGTTCACCAGCATAACTCTGTTCGCCAGCGAACGTTTGATGTTCAAGGTCGTTAAGTGCGTACGCATCGACGGACGTTCATGGAACGTTCGTGACGCAATTTTTGTTCAGCCAAAATGTTCGCTCTATGAGCGAACTTTGTCCAGTTCGGAGAGAGCAGTCCTTTATGTTGCAGTCCCTTGCAGCGTGTCTTTGCGTTAAAAGTGTATCCACTATAAGATGGTGACTGCAACACAACTTGTTTACCATCGATATCACCTAGACAGTGGTCGAATTTTCCCTTACTTCATCAGCAACCACAATCCATTCTTCAGCAGAAGACGTCTTTACATAGCTAGATAATGCATGAACTATTGCTGTAGGACCTCCATACTTCCGGGACAATATTTTATATGCTTCGACTGGTAATTTTAAAGTTTTAAACAAATACATTAGAAAATGATAAGAATCTCCACTCGCAAAAAAAACTCAAGGCGGTGATCTATCTTTCATACTACGGCAATTGGTTCACGACGAAACGGATATTTTTTATTAAATTTCAGGATCCAAATGTTACAATTAAATTAAATTGATATAATTAAATTGATGTTACAACAAATTCAAAACAGAGTTCGCTACGAAGTCCGATGAGAAGTGCTGCCCTCTATGTTCATATTGTATTCATACTGTCTCTGTCACCCCCGACGACGTCATTGCTATAATGTAGGTAATGCAGCAGAAACAACAAGCAAGTAAAAGCTGACGCCTACGCAAATCCACCTTCACTCGAAAATTTCAAAGACTGAGTTTAGAACGAACACCATATTTTGTCCGTTGAACTCTATAAAAATATCAACAAACAATATAATATACAGACCATTTATATAGTTCATTGCCTTTACATTTTCGCACTTCCTATTGATTTAGTAATCATAGTAACAGATATTTCATTGATTTTAGAAACATACAGCTTAGTTTTACTATATTTTCCTTGGTTTAATCAGCGGTGGAGTAAAACACAGATATGATAAATAAATCGAAATGCAATAAAGTAAATGTAAACTGCATGGTATGTTAAGATGAAATAAGATAATATTGTATTACCATTTAATATTTATTTACTCGTAAAAATAGTTACACATATACCACATATTTTAAAACACAAATACGGCGTACAATTTAGTTATTTATGATATTCTTTAGTTAAATATAAGAATAGGTTTAGCAAAACCCAATTACAACATTTACCTAAATATAAAAAAATATATAACATGTAAAGTGCAGGTTATTTTAAGTTAATCCAACACATGTTTAGCAGTTTAAAACTTTAAAACTATTCTTTGTGTAGTGAGCCTCAAAAAAATATTCCGTCTTTGAGTTATTGAAGCAATTTTCTATCCTTTACATCAAAACTTCCCGGAGTGTAGACAAGAGTTGCAGGTTGTAAAAGTGTTCATAACTTTCGTGTGTATTTATATATTTCTCAACGATTCAGTATTAAAAATAAATAAAAACACTTCGAAAAATGAAACAATGACTCGTTAATAACTCGTATAATTTACCATTCTAGTAATATTAACACACCAACTTTATTAATATTTTAAGTAATTTAATTAGGCTAATCAAAATTAGAAATGTAGAAATATTAAAAATAAAAATTTCACTGATCTATAAGACTAGCTCAAAGGTTTTACTTAATATATTAGATACTATCAGACGCTGTAGATGATTTTACGATGCCTGTACACCAAGGTACGTGGATTATAGCCCAGTCATGTGTCGTAAAACACTGGTTGAAGGAAAAA